CACATGTGTGTAAAAATGAGGAAATAGTTTCTAGTGTTGTTTATTTCGGAAAGTGGGAGGTTTTGGCAGCTTACCAGACCACTACAATATGACATATCCAGTATCACTACCTAAGAAGCAGCAGGAAAACAATGTCACATCATAATTAAAAGTCTGAAATATGACATTCATAAAGTAGTGGTACTGTATTTGCAGAAATCTGAAAAACTGCAAACAAGTTAGCAATATTCAGGAAAGGAAAGAACCTATAAGTATTCCCTGTACTGTACTGGAAAAATAATCTGAATGAAGACTGTGGAGCCTTTGGAGTCTTATTAAAATAATTACCAAAAGAAGACCCTCCACAGAGGATAAACTTCAAAAGAGACAAGGCACCTTGATGACCCCCCCATAATGCTCTACGACAGTCACCAAGATAATACAGGAAAGAATGGCTGGGTAGATTGCACCTTTTAAATTACCAAAGAGCCGTAAGAATGAACCTGACAAACGGCAATTGCAAGGTGAAGGACAAAATGCTGTGTGGAGGAAAGTGGAGTCTTGGAACACGGCTTAGTTCTCGATTTCTACTATTCCTGATTTATGCAGGATTTTTACAGGATGATGTTTGTATAAGATGGCAAAGTTATAGTTAAGGTAAGTAATGTATCATAAAATCTAATCTAATCCAAGATGACCTAATCAACATGCAACTATGGAAAAACAAATGGCTAGTAAAGTTCAAGCCTAACAAGTGGAAATTACTGAATAGACCAGAAAGGCAGTACAAGTAATGTACAGTATTGTATATATATATATATATAAAAAAAAAAAAGGCAGCTGCAGAAGTCAGAAAAAAACAAAAAAGTGGACTTGGAGATGGATACAAGAGCAGATTTGGCAGAAGAGGAACACAAAATAATACTGGCAGCATATGTAAAATAAACTAACATAACAGCATTCAGAAATTATACTGTACAAGGAATAATTCAGAACATAATACACAGAGATCTACTATGGGACAAGTGCCAGAGATAAGACAGGACAGTTATGAGGACAAGCTAAGGAAACTCAATCTAATGACAGTAGGAGGAAGACCAAATGTGAAATAACCACAACTTAAAAATTGCAGAGGAAAAGCCTGAAAAATTTAAAAAAATACCAAAGTACAGTACTGGTACTTAAAGAGGCAGTCAAGGCCATCTCAATGTATAGCTTCAAGAGCAAATATAACAGTACAGTATTAGAATGTCAGGTATACTGTAAATGTATTGGTTATAATACCTGAGACAGTGACAGACAGACAGATCATGCTCCTTGCTGACATAGGTACAGACACTGTCAACCACCACCTCTTTCTCAACCCTCTTGATCTCAAGGTGGTCAGCTGGAAGGTCGATGCCTGTATTAAGTAACAATCAGTTTTCAGGCAAGTGGTTCTCTTAATTTTATGTTCAAGCTTTTGTCAACTCCTGGTGGATCTAATTGTCGAAATCTGGTTATCCCCCCGGAGACTAAATTTGGCACATAAATTTTAAATTATACAGCACTGAATTGTATGTTGGTAAAACTGCAGTAAATATCACATACTGTATCCGGTACTGTAATATACAAAAATGCAAACAAATTATTTTCCAACTCAAATACTTACACAAGGTCAACTCTCAATCTGCATGAATTGTCAATACAGATTTGCATATGCATGATTTTGGTGTTGGTAGCAACATCTGAATTGTATGAAAGATCTGCAATAACTTAAGCTGGTGCAAAAACCAAGTTTTTGTTTGCGTACGTGAAACTAAATTCCACACACTACCCTAATGACCCTTCAGTCATGTGTTGTACATACATTCTGGCATCATTCTATACATCAAGCATTCTACACTTCATCTTCGTTATGTACTGTACAGTACTATGTTTGTGTGTGGAAATAATATTTTAGAAATAATGTTCAGGTTGATATTTTATCAAGCGGAGTGGAAACAAATGTATTTTGGTGGTCATTGTAATGCATACCTATTTTCCCACAAAAATTACTTTGATTTGCATGAGGATTTTTGTGAATGCTGTAAGGCTTGAGGAGTAGAAGAAATTCTGAACCCATCTCTGGATAAGACCTCCAGGTACGCCCTTGAGTACAATGAGGGCCGACTGTATTGTACTTACAGGAGCAAAATGAAAAATTTGCATAGTGCTGCTACCTGGCACCTGCTAGCTAATGCCCAGAATTTACAAGAATTATTTGTAATGACCAAACTCTTAGACAATTTAATCAATACTTATCAATAAATACAATTTTACAATGTTTAAATAATTTCTATGAGGTATATGCACAAAGCTAAAAATTATGATTGTCATAGATTCAGCAACACGTTGTTGTCACTATGTTGAGACCCCAGACCATGTAGGCGGGTAATATTAGTAGGTTTATTAAGTGGATGATATGATTGTCAAGATAATCAGAGGCAGGAAACAATCAGGTGTCACGTAAAAAAAACACCCGCCAACCAGTGATTAAACGAGCTGTCATTTAATAATGCCTCATGCACACATGGTTAACTGCACGAGATCAAATCAAATCAGATCTATTGCAGTGTGTTGAAAATCAAGGAAGGTATCCCAGGTCTCCTAAACTGGCCCATCCCATGAAACAACATTATGATATATTCTTATATACCATACAGTATGTAAATGCCCCATTTCTCTCTTTCCGTCGTCCCTCCTCTATTTTCTTCCCTCATTCCTCGTTCACTCACCCTGCAAGGTATTTTGTCTGGGTTCAAGCCCTGGCCCGAAAGAATTGATTTTGCACTGATCCTTAACTGTTAGCCCTTGTTGCAGTAACTGGGGACCTGGGTGTAAACTAATTGGCAGTTCATGTTCTAAGGAAAATGAGAGAGGTAAGGTTAAACATGAGATGTGGGAAGGGAAAACTAAGCCTGTTAACAAATAAATATACATGTACTGTATACTGTTTATAAATAAATAAATACTGTAAATAAAGGGTAAATAGGCAGGCATCCTTTGTGTGCATATATATATATATATATACACATTACTGTATCACTAAGAACTCTCTTGACCCAACCAGGATTCGAACCCCAGCTGCTTGGGATTATCCCTGGTGTACAAGGTACTATAACTACAACACTAATGATCATTTATAAGAATTGGGTAGTCCTAGAGCTTATTAACTAAGCTTCATGACTAATCAACCTCTGACAACATTCATGGTGCAATTTTAGGCATAATCTTTTCATCAAACTCTGGCACATGCATGGGCCCATACCGAGCTTACAACTGTGACACAAAGGCTGCATTCTAAGTTTAGTGAAGCCGATGCATTCTCCAGAAATTTATGAAAGACTACCTAAAATTGCACCACAAGTGTTGTCGGGGGATATCTTGGTTATCTTGAGATGATTTCGGGGCATTTAGTGTCCCCGCGGCCCGGTCCTCGACCAGGCCTCCACCCCGAGGAAGCAGCCCGTGACAGCTGGCTAACACCCAGGTACCTATTTTACTGCTAGGTAAATCATGGAGCTTAGTTAATAAGCTCCAGGACTAACCAATCCTTATAGACGATCATTGTTGTGGTTATAGTACCCTGTACACCAGGGGGTGATCCCGGGCAGTGAGGGTTCAAATCCTGGGGTCAAGAGAGTTCTTATTGATTAATGAAGGGGTAAACAATGAGTGGTAAACAAGTGTAATGAAGAACTTAAGAAAGCAACCACTCTTCACAGCTTAAAGAATAATTATAATGGTTAAGAGGTAGGGCACTAGAGCTTGGGTTTTCTTCCAATATACACAACTAGCTAAGCACATACATGTACTGTATATATATATATGCACACAAAGGATGCCTGGCTATTTACCCTTATAATATATCTATTTTTTACTCCTTGTTAACAGGTTTAGTTTTCCCGTCCCACAACTCGTGTTTAACCTTACTCTACTCATTTTCCTTAGAGCATGAACTGCCAATCAATTTACAATCATGTCACCAACCACTGCCAGCATATACACTTATTGATGTTCTAATGCTCCATCATATTTGCTCCTGAAGGTGTATACCGAGGTACCTTCTATGAGTTCTGCTCGAAGCCCATTCATTACATTTCTCCAGCTCGTCTGTCTTTCCAATCATGTCCTCTTATCCTGCCCCTCCCTCGTCTGGAGAACAATAACTGTATCCTCTTCACCTATTCCTCTCAATATGTTTTTACTTTGTGATATCACCTGCTGTTTTAATTTTTGTATAGCCTGGTTATGTTGAGCCGACTCTTATCTGAGGTTGTGCGAGGCAATTCCACCAACAACTTTAAGAAAGAATATGATGAAAGCATTAATTTTGAGAGAGGTAATTTTGCTTGCCAGGTATCAATGGCTAGGAAGCGGAAGCAGGGCATAAAGAGCTAGATATCACTCTCCCTCCCTCCTCTATCTCCAGTGCTCCCTCCTTCCTTCTCGCACATTCTCTTTCTCAGTGGGCAAAACATGCTTGAGTAATGTTGAATCAGTGATGAATCAATTTTATCAATATTGAATCAACAATATCAATAACAGGAAAATCTGTTTGCAAATACTATAGACAATCAAACCCACATTTCAGACTTCACAGGAGTCATTGGTTGTTGCAATAGGAGTCAATTCTACTTCAAGAAGGGTACAAAGGTCAACCCCAACCACCCTAAGACACTTGTCATATGATCATAACTCGCCATGGAAAATTGCGCAAGGCTAACTACATCTGTCTAGCCTCCAACCTCAGAAACAAACACTCTTATAACTGTCACTATCTGGGCTAGCCTACCATATATGGGTCCAGTAGTGCAGTGGTCAGCAGCCACTTCACAACTGAAACATTCCAGGGTTAGTTCCAGCAGTGGACAGAGATGCTAAGGCAAGTTTCCTTTCGCCTGATGCCTCTCTTTACCTAGCAGTAAACAGGTACCCGAGAGTTGACCAACCGTTGTGGGTTGCAGCTTAGGGACATTATTGGCCTTGGAGGACTTTGATAATCCTAACAGGATTCCTGTCCCTAACAATAGCAAACCATAATCCAACTTCACACTGTATTACCAAACTCTTAAGGTATCCAAATGATTCATTTGAATTGATTTATCTAATACTATATTAATGCGAGCTATTTAATTTTGTAATTTTTTTTTTTTAATCAAAACTGGTTCCAGCAGAAAACTTGCTGTGGTTACCCCTGAAAATAGCAGCAATACAGTACAGTACTTGGTTACTGTTACAATACTATGTAGTCAAACCCTAAATAAAATACTGTATAAATAAATTGGTCCTAAAAATGGCCATCTTTAATAGGAATCTTTCTTTGATAATCAAACATTGTAGAGTTTAAAGTCAATTTGAAGAGGCACTCAAAATATTGCACAGGAAGCTGCAAACAAAACATAAAATAAGGCAATTAAACACAACAAAACCTACCATTTTGAATACAAATATTTTAAAGTCTCTTGAATGCTTAAAAATCATTCATGGTTTCCATAATTTTGTGTAAATAATGAACAATTTATTTATAAATTTATGGTTTTTATATACACACAGTTTTTTAAATTACAGAAAGAAGGAAAATCTTAAAAAATAAAGTTTTACCTCGAGTGGTTACCGCACATTTTCTGTGAAGTAGCAAAGGAGTTTTTTTTTTTTCAAATAACATAAAAAATATGCAGACCATGGTCATTGTTACATTTAAACATTACATACTGTTTTCTTTGTCCCCGAGAAATATGTATGTGGTCCTTTTCAAGGATGGATCATTAAACACACGGAGACAAACTCTGCAATGCTGATACTAAGATGGAGTTCTCAGACCACTAGGAAAATATCCCTACCTTCCAGAGTTCATCCAATCATATCACAATATTCACAACACTGCCGAGTTCAGTCGTGCGTGTGGGTGGATCACGTGAATAGGTCACCTGCTGATGGTAGAGGAGCAAGCCCACCCATTCTAATACTCGGCAGTTTGGATATATCTGGCAAATTTTGCAAATGAGCCTTTAGTTCTTCTCTCACTTTTTTAACTTTTCCCTGTTTTTGTCGATGTTCCTGCAAAAAAAAAAAAAAAAAAAATCAGGATTTTATTAAAACTATCGAGACATAAATCATACAGTTAAAAATACACAGTACTGTATATAAAAATATACATTATCTTTAGGGATAGTTATACAAGAACTTATTGCTGTAATAAAAGTCATGGTTATCCTACACTGAGGCCTACTATGTCAACTCTCATAATTACTGTACTGTAACTCCGAATGACCATAGTAAATTACTAGTAAAGACCATAGACCCAATAATGTAAGGAAAATATAAACTAACTTAACGTAATTTTGTACTTCTGAATATCTGGCCATTAATAGTAGAAACCATCTAAAAAGGTTATCATATATATCCAGAAATTTTTCCAATCTACAGATATCACCTTAAATTGAATTTAGACAGTAGATAGGCTTTCTTCCATTTTACTTTAAACAAGTTGAACACCTAATACAGATCTCCTACATTTTGTTTTACTGCCAATTTATCAAGTTCAATTGCAGAAACATTCCAGATGTTGCTTGTCTATACTGGCTTCACTTCATTATATTTGTATCATGGACTTAAGGGCTATATATGACAACAATGTACTGTACTTGTAGTTACTATGCATTAATATGAGAAGAAATGCTGTACAATACTGAATATGCAGAGTGAAATCAAAATTACATGTTATGTCTATGAGAAGATATTGAATATGTATGATGGGATCGAACCTGCTTAAATACCTAAACTCCTTTGGTATGCAGGTTCAATCACGTCATATGGCTTCAATATTTTCTCAGCACAGTTTATGCAAAGGTGGGAACCGAAATGGGAACCAAGGATACATTTTAAACCATTTCCAGATGTCTGATATTCCTCAGTCCTATTTTTAAATTAATTTTTTTGAAAAATTAGAAGACAACGCACTTTAACCTCCGTGCTGTGCGGCTTTTATTGTGACATTCTGATGGTGCAAGGAAATTGAAGTGTTCCTAAAAAAAACGCATTGAATGTAATAAAACGCCATTTTCTGAAGGTGTTTATCCGGAGGCTCCCTGAAGCTATCCAAGCTGCCATTGCCATACTAGTTTGGCGTCATAAGCCATAGTTCGGTTCAAAACGCCTGTGACCGAGGCTGTTGGTACACTTTTTTAAGAACAGGTGCGCACCATTCTTAATGTTTGCTTCCATGGTACTTCCAACGAATTCTTGTATATAAATAATCACACAAATTACTTTCCTCACCTCTAATGTTTCCTCTGCTTGTGCTAGCAAATCCTTTTGGTAAGCTATGTAATCATGCAGCATGCGAGCCACAGCTTTTCTTGCCTCCATCTCCTCTGACAGGCGTTTGTTATATGCCTCAAGCATAGATAATGCCTCTTCTACCTCTTCACACAGAGCTCGTCCAGCAGCCAGATCTACATGCCAAAAATAAATTATCAAAATGCTTTCTTTACACTGAATAAGAGTTTAAAGAAAAAGGATTAATATAGACAAATATGCTGAAAATGAGAAAAAAAATAAGTTGAAAATAAACTATTTGCAGATGATGCTTTTCCCTTACAAGTGACACGTCATCTCCGAATAAGCCAACTGGATGCAAGATGCGACGATAATTCATATACCTGTACTGTACTGTATTACATATGTGGGGAAATATTCTGACAATGCCAATACATTTTAAGTTATCTCGTGCAGCATTTAGACATTCTCTCTCACACACACACACACACACACACGTACATTTTCCCAGCAAGTATTTTCCATTGCTTCACGTCCAAATGCACAAGAAACTATTCTCTTTTAGCCATACTATTTGCATAAACAGTAAAATCCACAACTATGGTGATGGCAAGGGATAGGCATGGAGGTGGTGTAAGGGGAGAGGTGATAGTGGGAAAAGGTTAGGTAGGAGGATGTAAAATGCATAGTTATGGTTATAGTGATAATTATTGTAATTGTGTTATAGTGTGGTGATAATGGTTGTAGAAGTGGCTTTAATGTGGTGAAGGTGGTGACTGGTTATACTGGACATTGTAGTGATTGTGGTAATTGAGGTTGTGTTTGTATGTTGCTGTAGTGATGGATGTGACTGAAGTTGTTGCTGCTGTGGTGGCTGTAGAGATAGGTGTGGCTGTAGCAGTATATATGGCTGTTGTGGCTGGGGTGTGTGAAAAGGAATGGGAGATTAGGTCACAATGGGAAGATGGTGGACTAGGGAACTTACATCCAGGCACTATTTTACCTATTGACACCAATTTAGATATTTGGTTGGAGTTCTGGCCAGAAGGGTATAAATTTATATTCTGAATAATGCCACACTTTAACACTTTAGTAAAACCTATGAAGAAATATGAAGAAATTCACAGAATTGGATTCTAAGATAGGATCCAGAAACAAGAGAAAATTCTCTCATTGTGAAAAAATTAAAAACTGTATTTAAAACCATTAGGTTTATGATGATGACTAGAGCATAAATGGTTTGGTTTAGGACAAAATTCTTATTTTAGTTCAATTCCTTTAATGGCCTTTGTAATAAACACATAATAGCACATATTGTAAAACTTTTTGGGGTATTATTGCAACCCTAAATACAGGGATTTTTCCTTGATACTATGCCATGCCGGTAGAAAGTTTGGTGCAGCTAAGCTGACATGTTTTCAAGATATTGATCACCCCCTGCCCAACACACAATGAATTCTGCCAGTGAGGTAACTAGCCCAAGCATCAAAATGGATTTTCCTTGCACTACCCTACAAACGAATTTACAGTTTCAAGTCAATACATAAATGCATTCTCCATCTCTTATCCAGTGCAAATTAAAAATAGTATAGGTAAAGGGGAAAACTCCAGGTATAAAGCCAAACATACATCATGGTACATTACAGTACAGTATAAGTGAAATAGAGATCCTCGACAATTATACTTTGGAATTGGGGAAAGTCAATTTCTGAACAAATTTATTCTGCTACTCCTAATTCATAGCAATTCCCTATACTGTACTATTCTATACATTGTCACAATACCGGCACAATTAGGCAGGACACATGGAATCAATACTACAACACCTGCTTGATACCTGCTTGATGGGGTTCTGGGAGTTCTTCTACTTCCCAAGCCCGGCCCGAGGTCAGGCTCTACTTGAGAGAGTTTGGTCCACCAGGCCACCAGACAGCATATATTTATACATCAAATCTCATATTATAGCTCTCTTGCAGGAGCCATAGTATGCGATAATTATACTGACATACAGTATAATTATCACGAGTCTCTGGGAAAGAAGCCACCTGTGCTGGTCCTGAATATATGCCATCACTGCCAGGTAGATATATATGTTCCTGTGCAACTCCCAGCTCCTTTTTATGAACTAGCAATCAAATCATGGATTTGCTTACAAACTGCCTTGGCGCATTTAGGCCAAGTCCTGCCTGGCTATGCCATGAGTACAGGGATTAATCTTTGATTAATCTTTGTATAATAGGAGCTGCCTCGTATGGGCCAATGGGCCTTCTGCAGTTACCTTTATTCTTATATTCTTATGTTCTTATGATCCCATAAATATCAGCCCTAAGAATTTGGTTGATCTTGGTTAAAATTTTAGGATTGCTATAAACTGAAAAACATACAAATGCCCTAAACTTCCCAACCCTGTTCCTCTATATACAAAATTATTTTGACTAGTACTTACAATTTGTAGTACTAATGATAATACAACAACAAATTCCAGTACCTTGCAGTTTATTAAGAAGGTTTACATCTGACACTTCATCAGGAAGATTGGCAATCTTCTCGCGGATGAGAGCATCGGATGTGGCTGCATTTTCTAATTCCTGCAAAGGAAAATAATGGATAAAACTATATAAGCAAAATGCACGTAAAAGGTGAATGGAACACCACACAAGAACATTTATATTCCCTACAACCAGGAAAGTTAACCATCTTCAGTATAACACAAACATTAGACCATTGCCCAATGAACAAATATAAATCAGTAGATTTAGCTAGCATGCTACACTGTCCAGTATGCATTTACCCAGATTTTCCATTGCTCCTAAGCCCAAAAACTCTCTAAAGATTTGTTATATTTAAATAAAAATGACATACTTTAATAAATACAGTACACAGTTTGCCAGGACATCTTGCCGAGACATTACTGCAGTTGGATGAAATCAGAAAAAAATGGGTGGATGGAACCCGTGACAAGCCACTGGCTTCCTGTCCTCGTCGAGGCCACTAGAGAGATGATGACCCTCAGGTAAAAGTAATCTCAACCACTACAATCACAAATCGCATCCTTAACTCAGAAGTTAGGGATGCGGGTTTGATAACATCGTACAACGTCAATATTCTCTCAAATACAGTATATCATGTTTTCATGATTTCATTGTGTAGGTTTGTAAGATAATGAAATTATATAGTAATTCAAACATCAAACACCTCACTGGAAGTACCTGGAGGGCCTCAATCAATTGCTCAGGCTCGGGAGGATCGCATGGTGGTGTGGAGGATTGGGGCGACACAGCAAATTGACTCAGCTCTCCTTCACTCTCTTTACGCTCCCTGGGTTCAGGTGTTGTGGGTGTCGTCACTTCACTGGTACTGTCGCGTCGCTTTTTGCTAACTGGCGTATCAACTTTCCCTGGTGGAGGCAAGAAATAGTTTCAAAGGGAAAGAAATATCTTAAAATAAAAAAAAATAAATAAAAAAAAATAATAAAACAATTGGAAAGGACATTATGCATATAGTATTAAATAATTGCATTGCAATTAGAAGCATGGATAATTTTATCCATGCTTACATTATCAAGTGAAGCTTTGTTGCTTACAATAAAGCAAAGGAGGTAGTAAACAAAAAATACCAGTATATACAGAGTAAAGTACAATGACTGACAAATGCATAATGCAGTAATTGATAAAACGAACAATATTAGAAACCTTTATATGGTTAGATAGCGAGATCTCACTTTAGCTATATAAAGGTTTCGACAATAAGTATACAGTATGTAGTATATACAGTATATAGTGTATATACAAATAAGACACTGTCACCAGGAACCTAGCATATTTACAATCTCAGTACATCAGGGTCACGTGCCTTTTCCAGTCATTCTGTCCCCTTCATATTAAAGGAAGCCTGCAAGGGTAAGAGATAAACCCACAACCAAGATCAACCGTAACAAAAATTAGAGATTTCTAAAAAAACTTAGCCTCCCTCCAAATAGTTTGAAAACACTGAATCATAATAGAAATCTCTTAAATTTAAGTTAATCCTCCACTAATCTATCTACCTCCACTGCCAAAAATCTGTGTATCTATGTATTTACGTATATAGCTTAGCCTAACATTTTAAAAGCACTACGATCATCTTATGTGGTTGTTCAGTAAATCTCTGAACTGTATGTTTGACAAATCTCTCACCCTGTCCATGGAGGACAGAAGAAAATGTATATATGTTAGTTAGCATTGTAAATGTCTGGCCACGTCTGTGGTAGAAAATAATAATAATAATAATAATAATAATAATAATAATAATAATAATAATAATAATAATAAAATGCCAACAGGTGGCAGCCAGACCAACTCCAGTCAGGAAAAGAGGCCACCACACTCGAGACCCAGTGCTCTCCCGACACTGGTAAACACGAGGAAGATGGGGAAAGAACAAATCCACAAAGGCCGTGACGAGGATTCGAACCTGCATCCGAGAGCATCCCAGACGCTGCCTTAATCGATAAAGCTACGACATGGTCAAAAGGAGTTGAAACCGAAGTTTTACTGAGCTTACTGGATCCTGCAGCCTCTCCGAGGCACAAACCAGGGTTTTACGCAACTCCCCCCATACACTCGAGCTAAGTCAATAGGCCGTTCTCCCTCTTCGCCCTTGCTTCATTACACACAGAAATCACAAATGCATGATGCATCTAACGAACAAACCCACATAGGCCGTGACGAGGATTTGAACCTGTGTGAGAGCATCCCAGACACTGCCTTAATCGACTGAACTACGACATGGTCAAAAGGAGTTGAAACCGAAGTTCTACTGAATTTACTGGATCCTGCAGCCTCTCCGAGGCACAAACCAGGGTTTTACAACCAGGGTATAATGAAGTAAGGGCGAAGAGGGAGAACGGCGGTCTATTGACATAGCTCGAGTGCATGGGAGGAGTTGCGCAAAACCCTGGTTTGTGCCTCGGAGAGGTTGCAGGATCCAGTAAATTCAGTAGAACTTCGGTTTCAACTCCTTTTGACCATGTCGTAGCTCAGTCAATTAAGGCAGCGTCTGGGATGCTCTCGGATGCAGGTTCGAATCCTCGTCACGGCCTTTGTAAATTTGTTCATATGATGCATCACACAATTGTGATTTCTGTGTGTAAAGATGGGGAAAGCTATTGAAGTGCTGCCCAGAAAGGAGCGTTTCATTACATTCAATGTACTACTGTATTTCTGAACGAACTAGTACTCCTTGGTATCACCCCCCCTTAGCCTACTCCTATTGAGGCTTAACCCTTTTGGGTGTGTAAAGTCAACAAGAAACGGATGTGGAATTCAAAGAGCATCCACAGCCCAAGTGCCTGGAAAAGCATATCCAACTTATATAATGTCTGACTAGGAAGTATAACGTTCAAAACAAGCCCCTGGACCTGAAAATACTGCCAGCAGCTGGTGATAGAATCCAATGTCAACATAAGCAGTAACCCTAAAAAATCAGCAATGGAAGGAGGGAGGAGCTATGCACAGCAGCCTTCCTCTTCTGTAGGGGCCAAGTCAGTTAACTTTACAGGTTCCGGGTGTATTTGTTTTAGGTGCAAACGTCTTAGCCAGGGATCTATTAAGTGTACAGTATCTGCATTTGTGCTAAGTGAGAAAGTGGGATATTCTTTTATCCCATTCCTCAGGTTGATCAGGTGATGGGACTAGTCAGGAATGTGGGGGAATCAGCTTCTTTCAAAGTTTTATTTGGTGGCTCCAAACACTACTTTGAAGGAGAATGAAAGTTTGAAGTTACTCTTTATACTGAATTTATGGACAGTTTACCTCTAGTTGGCCGATCTGACACCCACTACCGAGATGAAACAATGGCTAGTTAGAAATAAGCAAATACTGTACAGTAATACTTACCACTTATTTCTCGCTTTTTGGGAGTGTTCTCCTTCTGTTTTCCTTTATCTAGAATACAAAACGGGAACAAAATAAATTTAATGCACAATAAGTATAATATTCGACTCAAGTCACCCCCAGTGCTGAGATTGTCACCAGGAGCCTAGTGCATTCACAGTTCTATTCGTGCAGGTGAAGTAAGGTAAAGATAGCTAATGAGGGGCTAAACCCAGACAATTTAATAAACTTGGAGAAAGCAGTGAACACTCAACAGGATTAACACTTTGGTTTGGTGATAATGTTCTCGCAGTCATTACAACACTATACATCATGCAAGACATGACTTTAATGCCGTCAACAATTAAAATATTTGTAAAAATTCCATTTATTGTCCGATTATTATGGGACTTGTTTTGAAATGAGCACGGTCTTCCCATTCTCTGTATACCCCATGTGGCATCACAATACCGCTCCATGGGTGGCCACCCATCGGGAGGCTAATTGCTTTCATGACCACACTCGTGACATCCACGGTAATGTTGTTCTATTTGACTTTATATGCATATATCCTTTTAGAGCATTCTATTGCAAACAATTTGATGCCAAAATTAACAATGTAGCATGACAATCGAGGCGAGAAAACTGGAAAGCGTATAAACATTGGAGTATGGTTGTGCACTCATGGGCAATGCCCGGCCTACCTTGCAGTGCACTGCAGATGGCCCGCCAAGCCAGGCAAAGTGTTTTAAGACATTAATATTTAGTCTAGCACAGCTAAATGAAGATCACATCTAAAGCAGGAAAGGTAGGGTGAGGGAAGCTGATGCAAAGATAGACAAGGCAGGCTGGTGCAAAAAGTTAAGCCAGGGAAATACTGTACTGTATTAGCAAATAATACTTACCACTTATTTCTCGCTTTTTGGGAGTGTTCTCCTTCTGTTTTCCTTTATCTAGAATAGAAAATAGGAGAAAATATATTTAATGCAAATTGAAGTTCACCATCTTTTATACAGTTTGCTATAATATCACTTGACATATTAACAGTAAGGAATAGTTGTGTTGACCAGACCACACACTATACTTTAGCCACGTTATTGTGACTCATCACCTACAGGAATAGTTGTATTAAATCTAGACACATTTATGAATGTTAAGGAATCTTCTTTTCACTTATTAATATACAGTAGCTGAATCATATTATCTAAACCTCCCGCTTCACAGCGATCCCAAAATAACAAGTGAAAAAAAAGTTTACAGCCTTTGCCAAGAGAGAAGTATAGAGCCAGGGTAAAATGAAGTTTTGATGGCGCAGTGTGGGAATAGTACAAGCAGCCACGAGATAAATATTACACGGGGCCAATGCAAGGATGGTTTCTTATGGGAAAAAGCAAGATAGTTCCACGAGAATATTAACAATTATTTTATGCATACACACCAACTTGACTGTCAACCAATCAGCGGCCTCGACCAACACCACTCTCATCCCATGCCTGATCAGTGTAGCTGAGAGAGAGGCGGGAACAGACAACGCAAAATACACGAGAGTACTGAACAGGCGGCTCGCCCAGAACAACCTGCCCACAATGTTGATACCAGCAGACCTATTTCAACATCACAACGCTGCTTCAACCCAAACAGACGAGATTCCAACACCAACAATAACTGCAGTCATACCGCTACCACCACCACCGGAGTCGAACCCAGCACAAGTCACCCAGGCAACAGCATCCACCCAGACCATCTCCACAGCAGACCAGTCAACCTCATCACCTGCCCCCACCAGCCGGGGACGACGGCCGAAAAGGAAAGCAAAACGTCAGCAAGTGGAATCAGAGTCAGAACCAGATTCAGAACCAGAACCAGCACCAGAGTCCTTAGATTCGCTATTGCTTCCATCTGACATGAATAAGGCCGTCACATATGTGGCCTCAGACTTTGACCCAAACCCAAGCAAATCAAGCAAGAAAAAGCCCTACTATGGACTTTACCTCAATCACGATGGGAATTTCAACGGCAACCGAAGCACCAGAATAGTTATTGCCTTAGAATGCAACAGGATCATCAACCACCTCAAGACCTCCCTTCCTCTTCCTCACCCTGTGTTTGTCCACCACAAGACCGTGGAACTATATGCAGACCTCAGTGCTCTGAAGAGAGAATACATCGACCCTAAATTCGATTTCAAGATCGGACAAGTAACCTTCCTGGAAGAAGATGAAGACCCGACAGGAACACCAATACCACCGCTGTCATTTGGGAAGTACATGCGAATTCCTCGTGGCCAAGACACCACCAAGCAACAGTGAACTTGCCTCTCACCACCTCAATAAGGAAGACACCTCCTCCAAGCCAGACAGACCACCTCAAGTGAACCAGGACGACATCACCCTGCCCCACCACTAGCCTCCTGCCGCCTAAGAAGAACTTAAGCTACAGGCTTTGACTGAAAAAACATCTCCAATCCACGGTGGACAGGCCACCGAACTTTCAAGCCTCCTCTCTCCACATCCAAATCCTCTTCCAAGAATTTCATCGCCCCATCCTTCTTCCTCCCACATCCTTTCCAAGCTCTTTGGACATCAAAGCTAAAAGTTATGCATTTATTGGATAGCTGACTACATTTCAAACCATCATGGTACCTGCATTGTACCTAGATGGGGTTCTAGGAGTTGTTCTCCCCAAGCCTGGCAAAGCCAATGACAAAGAAATTAGTGAAATCCTAAAACAGCAGTATGAGGATATGTTTAGCACCCCAATAAACAGCATGAAAGTGGAAGATCCGAACAGCTTCTTCATGTGCGATATCCAAAACCCCTGAAACTTTCTGATATCAATATGAACGCTGCAGATTTTGAAAAAGAAATCGACAACATGCCTGCCCATGCACTCAGCCCCGGGTTGAATTGTACCCAGGGCTGAGTACATAGGCACTCGGCCCCAGACTCGTGGACTGTCTACTGGAGGCCTGATCAGTGATCAGGTTGCAGGGGCACTGACCCTTAGAACCATCTCAAGGTAAGCTCAAACCAAGGTTGTGAGCTGTTATGTCGAGATCTCATTCGGCAGTCACGTGTCAAGAGTAGAAAACTCTTATATGGCCGAATTTGTATTGAATGCACCTCTGTCAATCATTTCAGGCTAGATTGAGCTCATCTCCAGTGACCTCTTTGGACCTTCAAGGACCCTACACAGACCACTTGAAATGTTCCTTCTGGTACCAGTGCTTAGAATGTCTCCTGCTTGGCTGTCATAATCCATATCCAGATGACACATCAGGTCTTACCTTAGAGGGCAAATGATTGCAATAGTCAAAATAAAACCTTGTAAACATAAAGGTTTTTAATAATAATGGGGATTATGCAGCAAATGGGAATTATGTTAGTGGCTACTGTCAGATTTACTAATAAGTACTGTAGTGACAATAGCCACTACAGGTATTAATAAATTATTTGTTGTTAATTGATTGGTCTTCCTCCAAAATAATCTTTCCTGCCTCTACTCTACACAGACGCCATCTTGTTGAATCGGTTCCGATACACAACATACCCAACATGAACTTGAGTCCTGGCTTTGTTGCTGTTGACTCTTCCCTTTCACAGTATAAACTCAAATGCTCTAAACTCTCTAATAAACAGGACCAAACATAAGCTTACACTTCCATTTACCTTTCTTTATTTTTCTTTCCCTTGTTTTCTCTTACGATCCCATTCTTATTCCTATTACTATCTCTTACGATCCCATTCTTATTCCTATTACTATCTCCTTTATTACACCTTACCTTTTGTATCTTTTGCCTTGCTTTTTCTTACTCCAAGATTTCCTTCTCCTCACCTCTCTCTTGCCTATTTATTGTCTTCGCCTCCTTCCCGAATCACAATCAACTTGAGAATGGTCCAGGATGGACCGAAACGTCGTCCCTTCACTTTCTAGTGTGTGGTTTGGTCAACATATTTAAGCCACGTTATTGTGACTCCTCATCTGCTTATTTGTTGTTATCAATGGCAAAGACAATACTAAAGTGTTTGGAACCATATTTGCAAATGTGTAAACTTCTTTTAAATTTAAGAGGTCTAATTCATTGTACTGTTGACATATCCAATAGTATAGTTCCGTAGCTGAAGGGAGGCTAGTGCACCATATCCACCTATATATGTACAATGACACATTATAATTATTTGTTAAGAAATGAATAGAAACAAAGTTTTTAGTAGTGTATGCAACCTTTGAACAACTGTATATATCGGGTACCTGTATAGAGAGCTTACTTAGATTTTTTTTGAACGTCTTGATATGATCTGCATCAAATACGACTCGGTCCTCCCACACGTTCAACAGTCTGTTGAGGCCCCTCAAAGATTTTTCGTCCAAGCGTAGGCCACCTAGATGCTCAAATACTTTTCCCAGTTTGTTCCCAAACTCCTTGTTGTACTCTGGGCCTTTCTTCTTACTGTTTTGTATCACATCATTTGCCAGGTACATGAATGTCAGTTTGCGAGAATCAGTTGCTGAAATTAGGGAATAAAAGAGAATTTGGACTCCAACTTAAATCCATAATAGTTACACATATAGATAAAGTATCAAAGTATTCAGTGAATTAAGAGAACATTCTGTACTTTACAGTTATCATTATCATCATTAATTTGTTTCTCAGTTTCATGGAGTAAAAAGGCATTTGCAGAGTCAAGCCAAAAGAGCATTGAAGAAAAAATAAAGGGATCTGTAGTGAAAAGTTCCTTTTCTAGACTGGTTCCCCACAGATGCTCCCCAAGTCACAGTCATTATGATCCATCAAAACACACATCTTTACTTCAAGCTTTAGTGATTTTTGCCCACTAGCCTAACAAATATCTTTGCAAATGGGTTAAGGTTAATTTTAAACCTAGTAATGGGATGGGAGAGAGTGTATTAGTATTGGGAGCGCACATTTGCACAGGGATAGGAGAGAGCATTAGTAAGAAAAAAAAATGAGCTTTGACAGAAGTTAGTGGCAGGAGATAAGACTATTATAATGACTCGCCCTTTAATAACTGACGCCCTAGTTTGTAATGCCTTTCTAAACAGGTTTGACTACGGAAGGCTGGATTTGGTCAAGTTAGTTGGTTATGTTTGGTTAGGTATATCTTCTTATGAGGTTTAGGTATATCTTCTTATGAGGTTATCTCGAGATGATTTCGGGGCTTAGCGTCGCCGTGGCCCGGTCCTCGACCAGGTCTCCTTTTTTGTAACACCCCCCCAGGAAGCAGCCCGTAGCAGCTAATTAACTCCCAGGTACCTATTTACTGCTAGGTAACAGGGGCATCAGGGTGAAAAACATTTTGCCCATTTGTTTCTGCCTCCACCAGGGATCGAATCCGGAACCTCAGGACTACGAATCCGAAGCGCTGTCCACCCAGTTGTCAGGCGCTGGGTGGACTAGGTTTAGGTAAAGGCTATGTTCAGTATGACTCAGTTAGGATATGCTAGGTTAATAGCTCCACGTTATTTTGGAAAACAGTCCATATTTGAAAAATAATTCAATTATAGTCTGAGTAATGAACTCCTGTCTAACAGACTTTGGATCTACATACTGTATTTAGTTCAGGTCCATGGGGGGGAGGTTGTCATAATTTAGATACAGCATAACTAAGGATCACATAACTTGCATTCCACAATCAGTGCAGTGATCAATTTTTTTTTTAAGTTTAATTTCAAAACGGAAATAAAAAAATTATTTTACATTAAAAGTTAATTACAAAAGGCCAATTTGACCCAAAACATAAGTACAGTGGAAACTCGGCTTACGAATGCCCCCATTTATGAATTTTTTGGGTTACCAGCTAAATTTCGTCGTAAAATTCAATTCAGTTTCGAGCTTTGCCTCGAGCTGTGAGTTTGTTGATACACCTATGGATCGACTAAGCGCATGGTTCCTTGTGGAATGGGCAACTGCACATCAGCTTAACAAGGCTTCCTGCGTAATGACAATCGTGTTTGAACTCTTTGTAAAGAATTTCATTTTTTCAGCTTTTTTTTTGTTTCCAAAAATAAAAGTAATTATTATATCCTATGCCATGGGTCCCAAGAAAGTCAGTGGTAAGGTTGAACCCAAGAAAACACACGTGAGGATGACCATAGAGGAAAAACAAGTCTATGGAAAGGTTCTTAGTGAGAAACAAGCAGAGCCACAGGCAAGCCCTTGTGGTATGCAGGCAAAATGTAGGAGAGTACCCCAGAGAAGTCATCACTGCCTGATGTTATAATGGAAAGGGACTCCCCTCTAAACACTAACACCTCCCCTCCTCACCGTCTTCCATACGCCAACTAGTCATCAATAAAGGTAAGCTATAACTTGTACATACTATAGTACAAAATATTTGTGTGTATCATGTATGAAATGTATTTTGAAGTAAATATTTTTGGGAGTGTGGAATGGATTAATTTAATTTACATTATTTCTTATGGGAAAATTCTTTTTGGGTTATGAGCCGTCTCTGGGAACGGATTAAGTTCGTAAACGAAGGTACCACTATACATTAGTGACAGAAGCCAGTTATTGACACAAAGTGAATTAGTGACAGAAGCAACTTGGAGAAGGAAAGAGTATCAGTGATAGGAGTGAACTAACCTAGTGATGCGAAGAATGTTAGTGACAGTAGTTTGTGATGCGAGTCATCAGTGAGAAGTGACGAGAGAAGTGAATGATGAGAGACGCAAGTGCCATGTGATGAGAGGATTAAGTGGCAAGAGATTGTGGTGCTGTGGAACACGTGACAAGCATGACCGAGTGCTGTTAGAAGTTGGGTGAAGATCAAGTGAGTGACAATTAGAGCATTGCAACAAGAGGGTTGTGACAAGAGCAGCAACAAGATGAGTGGCGAGTGTGACGAGTGACACGATGATCAAGCAAGTGACCAGCAAAGCAATGTGACAGAAGTAACATGACACGTCAAGCATTGTGACAAGGGTGGTGTCGTGACAAGAGGAGCAACAAGGTAAGTGTCGAGAGACGACACAGAAGCGAGTGAGTACTCACCAGTGACCAGCTCCCTATACCAGACATTGACAACAGTGTGGGCGTGCTTCTTGTGGTGGATGAGCCACAGCGACACCGTCTGGATGGACTGCTGCGACATGTTCAGGTCATCCAGCTTCTTCTTCAGCCCATCCTCGTTGAAACTGGCCATGGCTGTCGCCCTCGTCCAGGAAAACAGCGATGGCTTCTTCCCTGTAGCAGTGTTTGGGTCGCTTCCTGCAGGCCTCACAACACCCACGTCATCAGCCTCCCGACCCCTGCACTCCTCCGCACACACTCTTACTAATACTCACTCCAACCCCAATACAAAACAAGAATTATTAACACAACTCCTAATATTTCATTACTACAAGAGCACGCGATTGATCAAATGCCTATTTTTATCCGAAGAGACAACCCGAGACACTCATTAGTCAATTAAAGTCGCATTTATAACTTGTTCGAACACCTTCGGATCAAAAGATTTTTGTCCTTCTTGATATAGAAATACACCAATGCATTCTGGTGGGTCATGTATACATTATATATGTATACAAGGGTCTGGTGGAGAGCTATACTTCTCTCCTTCACAGTGCAGTATTCTCAGATCTTCAACACTTCCTTATCGCATTATTCATCCATAATTGATGACCGCATACCTGCCTCATGGAGTGATGGCATCTATGATAACAGTCACTCTTAAATAGACCATAGACGTCTTACGAAGACAATAAGTCACAACAACGGCGGCTGAAAATTAAAACTTACATTTTATATTTTTCCCAAAATGGTAAGATATCAGGATTATTAAATTTACCCGAATTTACCTGCGAGCCAATATACCCACAGTGGTCTCGATGTGGACAAAAAGCCGACGAGTTAGTTAGTTTAGTTCATTTATTATGCACCCCATACCCATCTTGTGGGCGGTAGTGGAAAGGGTTACAGAGGCACATAATGGGCTCAGGGACTGAACCCCACAATTCATTTAGCTGAAAGCCGACGAGTTGTCAAAAGTCCCCCATTTGTCATGATGATATATTAGCTAACGAGCTAATCATAGGATTCATTATATTTGTCAAGATTAACAAGTTTGCATTAATAGTATTTTATTAACTAGATTAACTAGTATACTAGATTAACAAGTTTGCATCATTTGTATTTGTATATTGTATTGTATTTGTAATAATAAGATGTATGCTGTTTGTCGACCAAATTGTATTTTTTGCTGTTTTTCTGCCAAATTCACACCAGTTACTCCATCTATCATCATTCTATTATGTAGGAAGAACCGCACGTCTGTGGGTCATCCAATAATGTTAGCAGACTTCTAGATGTTACCACTGCTAGGCTTAGGCTCGGCTACAAGTACCTCTGGGAATTTGTAACATCTGCTGATGTAGATTTGACTAAATGTAAACTCTGTCAGCAGAACTATTCGTATACTTTGCGTCATTATATAATGGAATGTGAAAAAATCGCGGAATTTAGAGATAACACCATCAATACTGTCTAAGAAATGTGTAAGTACTTCATTCATAATGATGTGCTGCCCGAAATCTTAGCGAAGTATCCAAAATTTCCTTACTGTAGGTAATGTATGCACATGACTGTAAAGCTGCCGCCCAGTTGGGTGGGTGTGGAGCAAGACTAGTAACTGTGTGACTCACCATAGATGTAAAGTGCCTTGTATAGTGACTGTTGTGAGCCTCTTGTTGATCACTTGTGACACAAAAGATTATTGATGTGTGTACTTGTGTGGGTGATTAAATATGTACTGTATGTGTATGTATATATGTATGCGTTTCAGTTGCAAATAGTCCTGGGGACCATTCATGCTTCTTCGCACATGTATACGTATATATATATATATGTACATGTATGTATGAGAATGTGTACATGTATATATAACATTAATAATTTTGTAACTAGCGTCAAAAATTGTTGTTTGCTTAGCTAAACGAACTAGAGGGTTCAGTTCCTGAACCGAATATGTGCCTCTGTAATCCTTTACACCACCGCCCACGGGATGGGTATGGGGTGAATAATAAAGAAAAAAATTGAAATTTTCTGCAATGTTCCCCCCTTTTTTATTTTTTTATTTTCTCAGCACATTTTATACTTTAATATAAATTAGTATCACGTTTTAGTCTGTAGTGTTTTTCCTGCCCGAAACGCTTTGCGTAATAGTGGCTTTAGGCATTGTATGTACTTTACCTGAATTTGAATGTCACCTGCAGTTCACCGGCAACTAACATGAATGCACAAAACAACCATTATCACCCTACTGTATATATTCAGCTTTATCATAATATTTATATTTATTCTAAAGATTAGATGAATATTTAATTATAATTATATTTAATTACTAGCTGTACCCGGCCACGCGTTCCTGTGGCTCAGCAACGCATGTGCATTGCTCAGCCACAGCAACCTTCCCCTGTCTCCCAGTCCTCCCCACCATTCCCCCACTCCTGTCCCCTTGTCCTCCTTACCATTATCCATTTTCCCTGTCCCCTCTTCCCCACCATCCCCTCGTCCTCCACACCATTACCCCCTCCATTACATTGATTATGCTGCACCTGTCATTTCTTGTTTTGGTAAAGGTAGGATGGGCAAGTTGGAGAAGGTACAAAATGAAGCCATGAGAATTATCTTAGGATGCCCAGGAAATGCTATGATTGAGATGATGAGGATGGACTTAATTGAATCTGTAGAGTATTGGGGATAGAATTGCAGAGATAAATGTAGCCTCTGCCATTAGATTAATGAGAGGTGGGAGAGCTAATGAATTAATCCTCTCGGTTCAAAAGGTGGGAAGTAATGAACAATGTATGATAAAGAAGAGAGCATATATGAATACCTTATGTTCTAATGTTATGAAGTATGATGTTATTACAGAGTGTATTGCTGTGCCCAAGAGAAAATTCACACCACCATGGGAGGATTGTAATGTAGATGTAGTAATTATTCCCTTGTAAAAGAAAAAAGTATGTATGAAATAAAAGAGCTGAGGGCAACATATGATTGTACAATTAGAAAATTACCTACAGAAAACACTCTACATGTATATTGTGATGGGTCAGTAGCTCGGTTCAAGTTCAAGTTCAAGTATGGTTATTGAGACAAGAAAGAAATACATCTCAAAGGGATAGAGTAGCTTAGGCTATTTCTACCCCCTTCTACTTCAAGTCCCTCAAGGGGCGCACAAATTCAGTAAGTACAAATAGACAATTAACATTACAAGAATCCCATTTAACATTGCAGGTTAATATAGTAAGCACAGCATATAATTGTTACACTCTTGGGGCAAAATTCTTGTAGCTCCTAAGTATACGGTCTATTATACCATTATTACACATCCAAACAATTTGATGTGGTACATTACTTATTTCCTTATTTCTATAGTTATCAATAAGTTGACACTCTAATACATAATGTTCTAAGGTGTGGGCGTGCGGCATACTACATAATTTACACTCCTTATCGTAGTAGTAGCTAGGGATGTCATTTGGGATTCCCATCCCTAGTAGCTAGGGATGGGAAGGCAGGATGTGGAGTCTTGATCAGGGAGTACAGTGACATCGGCACTGTAGATACTGTTATTGGACGCCGCTTAACTGACAATGTCTCTTCAACGCAGGCTGAACTCCAAGGTGTATTAGCAGGATTACAGGAAGTAGTCAAATGTGGTAAAAATGCCTGCTTCTTTATTGACAGTAGAGGAGCGTTAGAGTCTTGAAATAGCAGACGCCCAGTATACCAGAATATTGTGATAGAGTGTAGAGAGAATGATAAGAAATGAGATAAAACTGGGTATAAAGTAAGATTCATGTGGATCCCTTCACATGTGGGAATACTGTTGAATGAGGTAGTTGATGACATAGCGAAGAGTCACGGAAAAAACTCTTGTTGATGTTGTATGTCAGTTAACCTTGAAACAAATAAAAACAAGAATCAAGATGATCCAAGAGGGGTGAAGAAATGGTAAAGAGAATGGCAATGGTGGACAGTAGTAACACACTTAAGAATTATTCAATAATAAATACAAACTCGTCCTTCATCTATGGTAAATGAAAGTCTGCTTGGAAGGATTCAGTTTACATGAGATTAAGATTAGGATATAAATATATCTGGCAATACGGTGTTGATGTCAGGGAAAAAGATAAGGAGTGTAAATTATGTAGTATGCCGCACGCCCACACCTTAGATCATTATGTATTAGTGTCAACTTATTGATAACTATAGAAATAAGGAAATAAGTAGTGTATCACATCAAATTGTTTGGATGAGTAATAATGGTATGATAGTACACTTAGGAGCTACAAGAATTTTGCCCCAAAAGTGTAGCACTTATATGCTGTGCTTACTATATTAACCTGCAATGTTAAATGGGATTCTTGTAATGTTAATTGTCTATTTGTACTCACTGAATTTGTGCGCCCCTTGAGGGACTTGAAGTAGAGGGGCCTAAGCTACTCTGTCCCTTTGAGATGTATTTCTTTCTTGTCTCAATAAACATACTTGAACTTGTACCCCCTCCCCTCTCCCCTCGTCCTCCCCACCATTCCCCACTCCCTCGTCTGATGCATTCCCAAATGAGTGTTCCCATCAGAAAATTGGGAACATCAAATGAGCTGATGTTCCCATCACTGAAATATAAGAAAAACAGTTAAAAAACTAAATGAAAAACAATGAAAAAATAAAAAATAAACTATACTCATGAAATGAACGGTATGGTAAACAACACAGCTCAATTCCAACGCAATGTCACACAAAACAATTAAATCAAAATGAAAAAAAAATCGTAATCTATGAAAAATCAATTTATCAATGCAATCGGAAACATTGAAATGGAATCGTAACATATTTAGCAAAGCGTGTGTTGCTATTACATGCAAGAGATGGCGCTGTTTTTAAAAAAAGCATGTTTTTACCTGTCACAGGTGTGGTATTTATATAGTAGGTATATAGAGATATATAGTATATAGGTATATGTCTCCCTCTAGAGACAAGGGAGATAAGCTTTAGGCTGCACAATGAAACTGCTATAGGCAATTTTATAGCTGCTGCTGCTAATGTCAACTGGAAGTCCGAATTATGTAACATAGGGGACATCAACCTAGCAGTGCAATCTTTTCTTCAAAAAACTCTCAGCCTTTATAACACCCACTGTCCTATGCTAACGAAACAAGTCACAACTAAAAGGCTAAACAATCCTTGCCTTACAAAGGGAATTTTTAAATCCATTAATAAAAAACATGACCTTGAGAAGAAGTATAGGTTAGGAATCGTCTCCAAAGAATTTTCAAAGAATTACTCATCATTGCTATCTAAAATAATTAGGAGAGAGAATAATTAGGTTAACAACTAAAGACCTATATCAATCCTGCCAAACTTCTCAAAAATATTTGAAAAACTAATCTACAAGCAGCTTTACTCTTATCTAGCCAAACACAATATTCTTAGCTCTTGTCAATATGGCTTCAGACCCAAAAAAGCATTAACGATGCATTTATTAGTATGATTAACTTGATACATGCAGCTCTTGATAAAAATGAGTTTCCTGTTGGGTTATTTAAGAACATAAGAACAAAGGCAACTGCAGAAAGCCTATTGGCCCATACGAGGCAGCTCCTATTTATAACCACCCAATCCAACTCATATACATGTCCAACCCACGCTTGAAACAATCGAGGGACCCCACCTCCACCACGTTACGCGGCAATTGGTTCCACAAATCAACAAAAAGTTTTTGTTGATTTGGAAAACCCAAGTTTTTCCAAAGACTTATAATTACCAAACAATGGATATAAATTGGATAAGTTTAGATTTAGGAAAGACTTGGGTAAATACTGGTTCAGTAACAGGGTTGTTGATTTGTGGAACCAATTACCGCGTAACGTGGTGGAGGTGGGGTCCCTCGATTGTTTCAAGCGTGGGTTGGACATGTATATGAATGGGATTGAGTGGTTATAAATAGGAGCTGCCTCGTATGGGCCAATAGGCCTTCTGCAGTTACCTTTGTTCTTATGTTCTTATGTTCTAAGTATATTATGTTCAGCTAAATAGAAGTAAAGGTATTTGGACATTGGCCTTTTATATATTTAGGACGAAGTGGGCAGGTAAGTAGGTGCCTTTATTAGGCCTCACTTAGATTATGCAGTTAAATTTGGGGCACGTACTGCAGGAGACCCATACATTCACTGGGACGTGTATAGAGAAGGATTTATTTATTTATTTATATATATATATACAAGAAGGTACATTGGGTTTGTGAGAATACATTGGATAGTACAGTATTTACATTCTTGTAAAGCCACTAGTACGCGCAGCGTTTCGGGCAGGGGCCGGATTCAGGAAGGTACTTACGAAGGTTTTTCCTCTTAGCTAAGAGCGAATTCCTTCTTAGCGCCTTCGTGGCGGCTAGGTCCGTATTCAAGTAGGTACCCTAAGTGGAAAAACCTTCGTAAGTTCATTCCGGGATTTAAGTGTGGTTTCGACCACTCGTAGCTTTACGTAAACTGGATATAAGTCATTTTTTCTCTACTACATAACACTGGGATCGATTTATGATATTGGAACATGACCAAAATATTATAGCTGGTGAATCTAGTGAAGAGGAATCCTTCGTGTTAGTTATATATGCATTCTCTGCTTGAAACTTGAAGTAAATATGTGTTTGATGATAGTAGAATTAGTTTTATAATAGCAAGATATTATACCAGTAGTTATTAAGTAAATAAACACTGGTGAACATGAAATATGAGAGAAGGTGATGAGCCCTGCCTGATGGGATCATTTACTATCACCAAATGCCCCTGTTCACCTAGTAGTAAGAGTGTACCTTAGCTATACATACCCATTTCTAATTTATTTAGTTTGGTTTTATTTTGAAATTAAATCTGGGTGAGACATAAAATAAAAATATGCTGCACAAATGATGTTAGGTAAGGAGAAGGGTAAAAATGTCACAAACTTTATTCATTGAATACTTAAAGCTATAATTATGACTATATACTGTAGATTATTAAAAAAGAGAGAGGGAAGTAGGGGTCCAAAACCTCTTCCTGTTATACAATTTGGGTGTGGAACAAGTAATTATCAAAAGAAGGCACCATGCCGGGAAGGCTATGTAGCAGTAAGGCAGTGAGGTGAGGCAGCTACTTATTTGAGAAATGCTTATTTTATTTACCTTATAAGCTGAGGCAACTTATTTTATTTGAGGAATACTCAGCTGATTCCTCTACATTTAGCATGGAACAAATTTGTGTCCAAGACCTCTTCCTGTTACTCAATTTGGCTGTGTGTAACCAAACTAGAAGTGCTCTACAAATCAAGGGACCCAGAATGTGGAATGACCTCCCGAATCATGTCAAAGGCTGTACCTCTCTCAACCAGTTTAAGAGTTAAACCAAGTACTGCCTAATTAACTCCATGTAACCTAACTTACCTCCTAAATGTCAACCCATGTCTTGCTATTTTTTAAACAACGCTGTTCACCAACATGTGCAATTGCTGAGTTATGCTATGCTAACCCCCCTTTTTGTATTTTTTATTCCTTCTTTCAACACAATTTATACCTAATCCCGATTACAGGCTGTACTAAGTTTTAGTCTGTGTTTTTTCCCCCACACCTTGCCCGAAATGCTATGAGTATTAGTGGCTTTAGGTATTGTATGTACTAGCTCTGTCTATAAATCCAACATTATGTTTGTAAATCAACTGTATGTACTTTTCCTGAATAAAATGTATTTATTATTTATTTTTTAATCAGTAAGTATTAAAAGAAGGCACCAAGCTGGGAAGGCTATGTAGCACCATTGTGTGTAACAATAAACCAAATTTTTTTTAACAAATAATGCACCTGTATGGTAAAACAAATCCTGTCAGCTGTAAAAATATTGATGCAGTTATTTAAATGAAAAATATAATGAAAGAAATATTACTGGTTTATTTTTATCCTATCTTTTTGTACTGTACAGTATATCCAAGGAAGTGAAAAATTGAGACATAATACACAATTTAATGAATGATTAGCATGGATTAGCAGTTCAAAAGAAATATGACTTGTATTACATATCAACATGAGATCTTAATGATCCATGGTCAACATGATTTAATAAGGATAATACAGTACTGTATTTGTAATAATACAAACTATAATTTAAAATCTTTATTACTGATTTTTTTTATTAAGAAGATTAGGTATACACAGCAATGTGCTGCTACCCTATTCTATATGGAATATTACACAGTGTAGATAAAAAACTAGCTATAAGTTTATCTAATACTCCCATCTCAAATACCAGCCTCAATAGAAAAAACAAATCAACTCTGACTAAACAACTCTAAGCAATTTTCACAAGAGGTAAGCACTGAATCATGGAAACATTATATTATAATTACTCTTACCAGTTTCTACAAAACTCCTCTCAAACAATGTATTTTTAAACATGTTTAGGTATACACAGCAATGTGCTGCTTCCCTATTCTGTATAAAGGACCACACAGGGTAGATCAAAAACCAGCTACAAGCTCACCTCACAGGATGGCCAGTCATACATGGAATTAGGAGAGAACAAAATACTTAATGCTGATCTATTAGCCTCCACTGGCAAAATCTGGGTGCAGCACAAGAATATCTTCCAATATTCCTGAGTGTATGAAGTAATTACAGAGCTCAAAATACCTCATACCATTTGGTATGAAATCACTGATAACAGGACAATCACAGATATAGTGTTGGAGAGTATGTTCTCTCAAGTAGGACTGAAAACAGATGTTTTTTCCACCAAGAGGGCTATAAACCCATGGAACCGCCTACCCGCTGAAGCCGTAAATGCCAAATTCCAGCTAAAAAATGTAATTAAGACCATTGGCGGGCCCTTCAACAAGCCGCCGGCTTTCTGTCCTCTTCGAGGTCACTAGATAGTTAGTGGCCCTTGGGTAAATTCAGTAAATATATACAATAATTGTCAGCGCATCTTCCGAGCAACAAGGACAGCTACACAGTATCTCTTAGAATTACGTAGGTAAACAACAAATGTAACATATTTGTTTACTACAATGTCGGTGCTGGCTGTAGAAGTTGAAAAAACATTGTTTTACTTCGAAATATACTAATTTTATAAGAAAATTCGACGTAAATAGGAGGCAGTAGAGCTGCGATAAGCCAGCGCTAAATCTTCAATATGAAGAATGTTGCTGCTCTCTGATTGGCCAAACGAAACACAGTAGTGACCTCTATCGGCACGCAGGTGAACCAACAATTTTTCTTCCTAAGTATACCTTATTGAATAGCACCTAAGCATCTTCTTAGGGCGCACTTAGGAACCTTCGTAGCAAACCCACTTACGAAGAAATACACAGAGCTTCCTGAATCTAGGTCCAGGTCCTTAATCTAGCAGATAATTTTAAGTAGGTAATTTCAATCAGAATTGATAAATGATAAAGATACATTGCAAGAGAAGAATGAGATGAGAGAGATAAGTAGGTATATTAAAGCACATTGTTATATTAAAGCTGTCATAGGATGGCAATATTATTTCCAGGAATTAGAAACCTTCTATACGAAGTGAGATTAGGAACTCTTAATTTACGTTCTCCAAAAAGACAATGAGTAAGGGGAACATGAATGAAGTATTCAAGTGGACGAAAGGGTATATCGTTGCAACGCCTGCCATTTAAAAATATTATTATTAATTGGCGGGCTAATATTGTAGGTTTGATATAAGTGAGTTTATTTGGGTATAAACCAGAGTTGTCTCGCTTGGGATAATAAACCTTCTGCAGCTTCCTTTGTACTCACGTTCTTGTATTTAACTTAAAGCTTTTGGCTTTAATTTTATAGGCTTTTTCCAAGTGATATTAAATACAAAATTAAAGCATATTTGTGTTAAGATTGTTATGCCCTTAATTTAATGATCTTACATACTTGCATTAAATCGCATTTAATTCTTCTCCATTCGAGACGAAGTATCTATTTTAAACAGGCTTCATATGCTTTATTTTTAAATATTCAGTCAGCTTTAAAATACTAAAATAAATCTTTGACCTTAGTCACAATTGAACTGATACCGCTCTCAACCAATACGTACTGTTATTACCACTGAAATAAACCCCTTAGACAGGACTTGAGGAAGTAGAAAGAGGAAAGCATCGTCGCTAAGTGATATCAGGATATCAGAGGAGGAAGCAGGAAGGATAGCAGCCAGCGGCAGTCAAAAGCCATTTTCAAATTTCCCGCGGCGTGCGAGCGGCGTGACGTCATGCGCGATTCTCCGTTTCCACCTCCGCGACATGTCTTGTGCGTCGGCCATATCTCCCTCTCCTGCGAGTTATTTCTCCCTCTAAGTCGCCGTGCCGGCCTCGTTCCCGCGTCCCGCACCTCCGTGGGTGAGTAATGCGTCGGTGTGAATGCCCCAAAGGCAAATAACAGCCCCGGGAAAAGGGGTAAATAGAGGTTGAGGGCGCTGGGGGGGAAGGCGCCGTTAGTCTTGTGTTTCGTCAGTGGTGAACAAATGAAGGTCAAATAATCGATTCTCTTTTATTATCTGTCCAAGTTTTGTTGTCCTTGTCAGCTGGGCGGCTTGTGGCGTGGCTTCCTCGGCTGCGGGGATGGCAGCCGGGGCCAGCCTGGGCCCCACAGGCCTCACCTCGGCCGCTCTGAGGCGGCGGCCAAGAAAAATGGCGGAGGTAAAGTGGGTGAGAGAGGGGCCCAGCTGTGTGGACTGGCGGCTGTCCTGGTACTGGTACTGGGGGGGGCTGTTGTTGCTCTCCTGGTACTGGTACTCGGGGGCTGTTGTTGCTCTCCTGGTACTGGTACTGGGGGGCTGTTGTTGCTCTCCTGGTACTGGTACTCGGGGGCTGTTGTTGCTCTCCTGGTACTGGTACTGGGGGGCTGTTGCTGTCCTGGTACTGGTACTGGGGGGCTGTTGCTCTCCTGGTACTGGTGGGTTGTTGCTCTCCTGGTACTGGTACTGGGGGGCTGTTGCTCTCCTGGTACTGGTACTGGTGGGTTGTTGCTCTCCTGGTACTGGTACTGGGGGGCTGTTGCTCTCCTGGTACTGGTAGGTTGTTGCTCTCCTGGTACTGGTGGGCTGTTGTTGCTCTCCTGGTACTGGGGGGCTGTTACTCTCCTGGTACTGGTACTGGAGGGCTGTTGTTCTCCTGGTACTGGTACTGGGGGGCTGTTGCTCTCCAGGTACTGGGGGGCTGTTGTTCTCCTGGTACTGGTACTGGGGGGCTGTTGCTCTCCTGGTACTGGTACTGGGGGGCTGTTGTTCTCCTGGTACTGGTGGGTTGTTGCTCTCCTGGTACTGGTACTGGGGGCTGTTGCTCTCCTGGTACTGGTACTGGGGGGCTGTTGTACTGGTACTGGGGGGCTGCTGCTCTCCTGGTACTGGTACTGGGGGGGGCTGTTGCTCTCCTGGTACTGGTACTGGGGGGGCTGTTGCTCTCCTGGTACTGGTACTGGTGGGTTGTTGCTCTCCTGGTACTGGTACTGGGGGGCTGTGGCTCTCCTGGTACTGGTACTGGGGGGCTGTTGTTGCTCTCCTGGTACTGGTACTGGGGGCTGTTGTTGCTCTCCTGGTACTGGTACTGGGGGGCTGTTGTTCTCCTGGTACTAGTACTGGGGGGCTGTTGTTGCTCTCCTGGTACTGGTACTGGGGGCTGTTGCTCTCCTGGTACTGGTACTGGTACTGGGGGCTGTTGTTGCTCTCCTGGTACTGGTACTGGGGGGCTGTTGCTCTCCTGGTACTGGTACTGGGGGGCTGTTGCTCTCCTGGTACTGGTACTGGGGGGCTGTTGCTCTCCTGGTACTGGTACTGGGGGGCTGTTGCTCTCCTGGTACTGGTACTGGGGGGCTGTTGCTCTCCTGGTACTGGTACTGGGGGGCTGTTGCTCTCCAGGTACTGGTACTGGGGGGCTGTTGCTCTCCAGGTACTGGTACTGGGGGGCTGTTGCTCTCCTGGTACTGGTACTGGGGGCTGTTGTTCTCCTGGTACTGGTACTGGGGGGCTGTTGCTCTCCTGGTACTGGTACTGTTGCTCTACTGGTACTGTTGCTCTCCTGGTACTGGTACTGTTGCTCTCCTGGTACTGGTACTGTTGCTCTCCTGGTACTGGTACTGTTGCTCTCCTGGTACTGGGAGGGCTGTTGCTCTCCTGGTACTGTTGCTCTCCTGGTACTGGGAGGGCTGCTGCTCTCCTGGTACTGGGCTGTTGTTGCTCTCCTGGTACTCTTGCTGGCGGCTGTTGCTCTCCTGGTACTCTTGCTGGGGGCTGTTGCTCTCCTGGTACTCTTGCTGGGGGCTGTTGCTCTCCTGGTACTCTTGCTGGCGGAAGTTGCTCTTGTTATACAGTACTAGTGGCTGTTGCTCTCCTGGTACTCTTGCTGGCGGCTATTGCTCTTGTTATACAGTACTAGTGGCTGTTGCTCTTCTGTTATTCATTATATACTTCATATTGTATCCAACTCCTGTATTCGAGTAACTTAACAATTTGAATCTTGTCATCTATTCCTGAAATTACAATTAACAATTGATTTCACTTTGTTCTGATCCATGTTTTAATTATATTTAACCACTTTTACTTGTATAATTAAGAAAACCAGGAGTTATATACGTATATTTACTCGGTAATATTAGCCGTCAAGTAGTCTCGTTTTTATATTGCCGTATTTTTCCGTTTAAGTACAGTACTGTACTTTGTATCCAACAATATTTCTTTAATATTGTAGACAAATGTCCAATTTTCACCCTTTTATCACACGCCTGCCTCATATTCTAATCTGAATTTCCTTACAGTCTTCTCCATTCTCACTGCATGTCAACTGACATTGATTGTGAACTAACGTCTGCTGTCGCATATCTACAATAACCAGCACATTGATCATCACCACTGCAGTTACTACACAGAAAACCATGCACAAAAAAAAAAAAAAAAAAAAAAAAAATAGTACAGTACTGTACTAACAAAAAATAGCCTATCAGTATGTAGCCTAAATGTCAGATTACTTGATAAACATTCTGATGTAAATACACCACTAGAAGCACTAGGTACTAAACTATCGTTCATTATTTTAACAGAAACATGGCTAAGTAAAGACAATACCAATATTATATAAAATTGCCAATTATAAAGCCATTCAAACTGTAGGCCAGATAAAAAATGTGGATCAGCTATTATAAAGTATTCTTCACTTGCACAAATGTCATTAGCGATAGATGACGTCTGTGAATATAGTTTTGCTCAGTTCTCGGTTAAATCTCTTCAATCCTCTATAACTATTGGAGCTGTTTATAGATTTCCTAATACTAATACATCATTCTTCGATAATCCTAAGGATTAAAATCATAAACAACAAACTAGTAAAATCTCATCATCTTAGGAGGTGACTTCAACATTGACCTTTGTCAACAGAATAGCCTCCAAGTAGGGAACTTCCTAAATAGCATGAACTCCCTGTATGCTTATCCACATAATCACCAAGCCCACCCAAATCACTCGAACATCCGCTACAACCTTGGACCAAATGTGGGCTAATATAACATGTGTTATTCCCTTTCCTCTGATATATTCACTGATGGAACATTGGATCACTATCCTGCCATAGTCATAGCAAATACTGTATGGATATAACACTATTGAATACCAAGAAATTAACCTTCAGACTACACAGCTAAACAGTAATAGGCAAGCTCATAAATGCACTTCACAATAAACAGAGAATCTGAATTCAATAATACTTGGGAAATAAATTCATTAGTTGACGTCCTCCCCGAAACTCCAATCCTCTACTACGCACACCATCCTCTCGTCACCAAGCATGTAACTGGCAAAAGATTAAACAACTCCTGGATCACAAGTAGCATACTTAAAGCAATTAACAAGAAACATGAATATGGAAAAAACATAGGATTGGCCCTAGCTGCAAAATAACTAGTCAAGATATTCAATGTTTACCAGAAAAATAAGAGCAGCTAAACTTTAGATTTTGAGAGTAGATTCAAAGATGCAAAAGGTAACATGAAAAGCACATGGAAAACCATCTTCCATCTCTAACATCCTAGGATCTAAACAACAATCACATAACAAGCGGATAAAACTCTCCAAGGATGGTTACGCACTTGCAACACAATTAGAAATGGCAACTGAATATAATAGCTTCTTTTCATCAGTTGGTGCTAACCTTGCCAGAAAGATCCCAGAGACCCAGATACATGTTACTACCTATTTCACCAGCAGCTATTCTAACATTTCTCCTTTCACCAGTCAGCCTGGCAGACATTGTACAGTATCTCTAATTTACTCTTAAAACCAGGGCTGGGAACATTAGTTAAATACTGATTATGGTATATAAAAGTGCCGTTCATACTCACACGCTGCCAATAGCTCTGCTGTTCAATAAATCTCAAGTCATACTTTTCCCGATATTCTTAAAATAAAAGCAGGAGTATCTCCAGTTCATAAGAGGCAATAATGTATAGCTGACATAAACAGTTATTCCTAAATTCTAATCCTGATCTGAAACTCAAATTTGATAGATATAATAGAACCCATGAGCACCACACCAGAAATAAATCTGATATCCCTGAGCCAGACTAAATCTAAAAACACTCGATGCAAATGAAAGGCCCTGGTCTATGGAATTCACTCCCAATTAATTAAAAAGTTGTCCAATCTATGCTTTATACAAAATTAAAACTAAAAATTACCTATTTTGATCCTCATTGTTTCCTACCTTGTGATTCAAATTTCTCACTATCTTGTGCTACCCACTCGCCCAATTTTAGTACTTAAGACGTGCAACTTCACCAATATAATTAATATGTATCGGTTTATATTGTAGTTATTTTGTCGAGTTCAAATTTTGCTGCAATATACCTATTAATAATGTTAACTTTGCCTATTAGATTAATGACCTGCCCAAAACGCTATGCGTGTTAGTGGCTTTGCAAGAATGTAAGAACAGTGTTATGTATTCTCACAACCCAATTCACCTTATTGTATATAAATAAAGTAAATACTGTTGTCTGTTACTCTCCTGTTATTATGGTGTTCTTTAACACTAATAATATTGACCTGGGCTACCAGGTACAATTTTAAGTTCTCTACTGTGAAAATATAAACTATGGTTTTTAATAGGAACCATATTGTCCACCAATTGTTCCTGATCATCTGTGGCAGTCAACTTTACCCAAAGATCATACAAAACTATTGTTCGTCTTGGAGATCTGCACTTCTGTCATGAAATGTCCATTACCTATGAACTACATGGTCAAAAGCCCATACAGTACTGTCTTCAAAATCTAGTATTCTACCTTCTGAGGATATGGATAGGTGAAAACTCCATTTGCACTCTATCCTAGTGCTCTTTAAACTGGACTATGGATGCCCTGGATATTTGTTAGTTCCACCCCATGATCGTGGCACTTTGCATTGTTGTTTGTATCACATCTCGATTGGCATTTTGTTTTTTCCCCACCCAGGACTTGTTTCATAATTAGAATGCTGCTAAGATCTGTGTTTTTATTTGAAACTTTGAACCTTTAACCCCCTGTTCACCACCCGTATTGATATCCCTGCTCTCTTGTCTTTGCAGTCTTCTTATTGCACAGCTCAAACCTTTATGCTACCTCCACCCATAGGTGAAAGTTACGTATTCTTGCTCCCAATATTTGCTACTTATTGAGGTTGACTGTACTCTTATGGCTCTGGAGTTTCAATCTTCCTGCTGTGGATTACAAAACAAATGATGACAAAAGTCATCCTAAAACTAAGTTGAAAATGCTAGACTGCCAGGTTCCTAGTTTGCACAGTATAACAACATACTAGAGTAAATGATATGGAAGGAAATGCAGAATAGAGCCAATGAAGAGTAGAGGTGCCATAGGCACAGAGAACATTGAACATCAGAGGTCCACAGTTGTTCAATATCCTCCCAGCAAGTACTGTACAAGAAATATTGCCAGAATAAAATTGGAAGTCAAGAAAAAGCTGGATAGTTTTCTGAAAGAAATGCAGGGCCAACTGGGCTGTAGTGAGTATGCGGGCCTATGGGCAGCTACAAGCCTAATGACCAAACTCAAGTCAAGCATAACCCTGGGCCATTCTTGGGGAGTAGAACAACTTTTGAAACTGCCATGCAGGTACAACACTGCAAACCAGACATGACAGGATTAATCTCATCAAAACTTTTAAAATATTGAGCCAGACCTCATCTTTGAACACTGTTGCTCTTTCTAACAAAAACGAGGAGCAACAGCTTCAAACTCAAGAAGCCACAATGTAAGACAGAAAACGGATGCATTTTCACCCATAGGATTATAAGCCCATGGAACCACCTACCTGCTGAAGCTGTAAATGCCAAGCCATTGCTGCAGTTCAAAATCCAGCTGGATAAAATTGGGGAATAATGGGGGACCTTTTGACAAGCTGCTGATTTTGTCTCCATTGAGGCCACTAGCAATATAGTGGCCCTATGATAAGTTCAGGTGAATCAAAAGTAGTATGTACTATTCTCCTGTCAATTCAAAAAGATGGAAGCTATACAAAAGTACCCAGTACACCAGTTAGTAAAAACTTTCCAGTTTAGTGTTTCTCTTGGGAATTGCTTAAAATGAGCAAACCAGATGGTACTGTATAGATAATTATACAATATACATTTACACATACTGTGTGTTTTTTTCCTTCATTATAATGTACAATAACACATTTGTACAATATCACATAATTTACAATATCATAATCCATATCACATATCTCATTTGTTCAGGGATTACTGGTATTTAACACGGCAATATTATTCAATGTTGGTAGAGTGTAAGCAAATTCCCCTGGGACGAAGAATCATTCAACATGCATATGCACCATACTTTTTATTTGACTCAAATTTTAAGAAGTACACTACAGTAATTTAGGAAATACACTATTCAGAGATAAGACTCAAAAGAAATACACGTTACAGTACGGAATAATTTTGCACATACTGTACTGTACAGTACAGTATATTAAATACTGAAATCTAAAAATTATAGTTGGTAGTCCTTTTGAGATTCTAGGCAAATTTGCATAGATTTTCTGACAAAAGTGATTAGGGTCTTAATTTTACCAAGTGCAGATTGTCCTGGTAGTAATTGGATGCTTTTATGTAGGAGTTGGCAATTTTTGCCTCCTAGAATTTTGCAGTGTAAATTGTAAGATGCTAGTGATAACTGGATTATGTGGTAGTGGACATAAGGAATAATGAAATACATTGAGAAAATCAGGAGGAGCCATGTGGAGGATTCGAACCTATGCATTCGCTTGATTCTCCCAAGCAAATGCCTTGGACAGACTACACCACAAATTGGTAAATTTTTTCATTATCAGTTATATACATAACTGTATATAACTATGTACTGTATATACAGTTGGTGTATAATGCTACAGTATCATACATTTTCTCATTGATACATCACGTTAATGTGTTTTCTTTGATAGACACTTGTGGAACATAAGCTGCCATGTGCTTTTTTTTTTAATAGAGTATTGGTTGATTATTACTATACTGCATAGCATATTAAAAAAAAAGTTGATAGGTTTTGCTGGGAGGTGTTAACATGGTTATAAAGTGTAAGCTAATTGAAAGATAAAAAAGCAGGGGTAAAGGTGTGAATGAACTCTGAAGGACAGCAGTTTGGATCTTGCTTGCTGATAGTTTTGCATAAGCAAGCACATTTATATGTGTGTTTTGTTTATAAATAATAATATAATTAGGTACTTTTTTAATAAACTGATCAGTGTATATAGGAAAAAGTATAAAACTTATGTGATTTTTTCAGGTACTGAAATATGGAAAGTGTTGTAGAAAGCTTCTCAGTGGTGGACAGCATGCCCATGATCACAGAAGAGCCAGAAGATGCTGGCCATTTGATAACCACCTCGACAAATCATGTGAATGATACGACAGATCACATCATAACATCGTCAGACAATGTTCCAATCATTACAAGTGTAAATAGCAATATTAGAAATGAAGATGCCCAAACAAACGGAGAATCGACTCGGGTTCTTACATCTAGTAAGACGATAGGGTCGACTGATCAGATTGTTGCCGATGGCATGGCACAGATTATTACCACCTCTGAGGGGACTCATATTCTCACGGACAGTGGGGGTGAAAGTCCTGGAACAACACAAATTATAACATCTGACGGTGCACAGATCTTCACCAGTGAATCTGGCCAAATCATATCAGACACAGGGCAGTTAATGGGTCACGAACATCATATATTCAGCGATGCTGATGGAGAAATTATGACGGCCGAGCCAAGCCACATTATCATGAATCACGACGGAAGCATAGCAACAGACAGCAGTGGAAATATTTTACATACAGGTGGACAAGTGATTACTGAAAATGGCAAGGCTCATATTTTATCTGCTGATGGAGAAATGATAGCTCTGGACAGCAGTCTTCTTGAGGGTGCCCATAGACTTCAGGAACATGTTGAGGTAAGTGATGCGATGCATGTCTGTGTTGTCATCTTTCGATGTATGTATGCATATATAATTTTTAATTAAAAATTCTTGTGTTCTAGTTTGACATTTGCAATACAGTATATATTTAATGGACCAAATTTGCAGTTTAATTTATTGTTAAATTTTTAATTTATTGAATGACAGTTTTTCATGTCTTGTAATACATAATAAATATCATACATTATACAACTGTCAGTGGCTATAGTCTAAGCACACAGTTATAACAGTAATACTACAGTATCATACATTTTGAACTATGAAAAATTACATTATCAAGAACAATAATAATTGTAGTACCAGCAACAGCAATATTAAGAGGACAATAGTACTTGTAATTATTGAATGACACTTTAATTTGACTTTCATTATGTTATGTTTGTTAATTTTGAAATTGAATGGTTGGTTAGTGTTGCAAAATTTACTAACCTTTACAGAGAGAAAAAATATTTGTCAATTTTATGTTTTCTCTATGACCCTCAGGTAATTGAAGATTCTACGGGGGTCGATGAATCTGAAGCCCGAGATGCGCTGCTTCGGCGAATCAAGAAAGAACCTGAAGACGGGGAATCTGCAACAATCCAGATTCGTGTTAATGCTGCTGCACCAAGAAAAAAAGAAACTGCACAACTGATAGATGAGGTCAGTAATTGTAGTATAGTCCTAGATTGTTAATAAAATTATTGATGATGACCATTGAATTTAAAAGTTAGTAGTGCTAGTGTCTTTTAAAGAGTTACAAAAAATTTGGTGTTGAATGTATTTTTAGAATTTTTTTGCCAATAATACAGTACAGTAGCGTATAAACAATAGAAGAGATCACAACCATGGACATCAAGGGGCATGGTTATTTAAAGGAAAACAGTTAGCATTGAGATAGGTCTAATTGGGGAACTGTTACAAGTAGAGTGCTTCAGGGCTCTGTCCTGGGACTGCTGTTGTTTACCATACCATCTATATCAGAAAATGTTTGTCACTATCTGTCCAAGGCTGGAGGCCTGGTATTTGGGGTTAGACTTTTCCAGCTTTGCAGGGGATGGTCTGGGGTATGGGACCTACCTTGAGGTTACCTTGAGGTGCTTCCAGGGCTTAAGTGTCCCCGCGGCCCAGTCGTCGACCAGGCCTCCTGGTTGCTGGACTGATCAACCAGGCTGTTGGATGCGGCTGTTTGCAGCCTGACATATGAGTCACAGCCTGGTTGATCAGGTATCCTTTGGAGGTGCTTATCCAGTTCTCTCTTGAACACTGTGAGGGGTTTGCCAGTTATGCCCCTTATGTGTAGCGGAAGCGTGTTGAACAGTCTCGGGCCTCTGATGTTGATAGAGTTCTCCTCTGGGGACACCCAGAGGCTGCTCAAGGTTGGCCTAAGTTAAAAGCGATTCTGAAATAAGAAAGCACAGCATATGCTGATCACATAATATCCTCTGTGTGTGCCTCTGGTGACAGACTACTATTCAGAACCACTCGTAGATGGTTCTATGTTAGCCTTTAAGTCCTTTCCACATAATTTGTAGGATTTGTATTGTCTACTTTCTTCTATTCCACATTCCATAACATGGCATTTATTCACATTGGGTTCCATTTGCCACGTGGTGCTCCAAGCACTTATTTTATGTAGGTCAATTTGAAGGGCATGACAATAGTCTAAGTCTCATATCTTCTCTAGTAGCTTAGTATCATCAGCAAACATGTTCATATAATTCTGTATTCCTTCTAGTAGATCATTTATGTAGACGATGAATATAATTTGCGCAAGTGTGTGTGTGTGTGTGAATGAATTAATGAGATTGGTTGGATATAATTAGGAGTTGCCCCACATGGGTCAATAGGCCTCTTGCAGTTATGTTAAATTTATATGCTGTATTAGTACTTGGTATTCCTTGGCTGTTGGTAATGTACTAATACCTCACCATCCCATTAAATTGTAAAATAGGGTAATGGTAATGCATAGAATGTAAATACGTTGTCTTGACTTGATCTGATATTGTATGTAAATACTGTGTGTGATGAGCTTAATTCTTTAATTTTTTTTTTAGGATGAGGATCCTCTTAAAGTGGCATCAGACTTGATGGCAACTGACCGTTCAACCAAATACACACGAGTAGATCGAGATGACCCAAGAAGTAGGCTGCATTTTGTCAAATATATGAAGCGGGAGGGAAAAACGATAAAAATATGGGAGTGCGGGATATGTGAGTACAGTACAGTATTCTTTTGCTTTTACGTCATATTTGCCTTGTATAATTTTTGTGGATCTCTCGTATAGGCAACTAGAATGGCCCAATTTCATTTTGTATCTGGTAGTTATGTCTTATCATTTGCTATTGGAATGAAAGATTGTTCTAAAAGTTCATGAGAGGGCACAGCTGAATAACTCGGTAGTTTAAGCACTTGGCTCAATCTTGGTCTCGGGGTCACTACTTAATCAGTCAATAAATTAAGAACTTTGTTCATAAATCTGTTGTTATGTATACATATACAGTATAATAAAGTAGTTTGTTCAAAATTTCAGCTTGTTATTTACATGAGAGAGTCATAATAATAGCCCAACGTTGTAATCAGTATAATTGTGTATTGTGTAATCTAAACTCATTAAAATTTAGAAGCTTAATTTGTCAGTGATTTATACAAATCATTATGGTTGTAGCTGGAGTGAACGTTCACAACCACATAACAAATTATAACATTCAGACTGGTGAGACTTCATTGGGGCATGCTAGGCATTTTACATCATCAGATTTAGGGGCTAATGCAGTATACTACTGTAGGCTCAAATAGAAGGTAAATCTCCTTGATTTTATGGGATTTATGTGAATTGGTTGGGTTTTTATTATAAGCCAGGTTATTCCCCATGAACTGACTCACCTGTGCGGTGTTTAGAGTTAGACACTAGCTCCGTCTCTCCTCATTGGGTATTAAACATGGAACTATTGGGTTGCTTGGCCTGTATAATAGCCATTGTGAATTTGCTATTAGTGTACATTTGTAATGTCTTGGGTACATATGTGTACATTTCTAGGCCTTTTCACATTGTGATTAACTTTATATTTCTGTTTCTATCTAGGTGGAAAAGAGTTTATGCACCAGTACACCTTAATGCGACATTTACCAACCCACACGGATGAGCGTAATTTTCGATGTAATCAGTGTGGAAAAGCTTTTAGACAGATGTCCACGCTCTCGCAACACAAAGCCACACACTCGGAGGTAATGCTTCTATTTCTTTTCGTTTCTTTTCACTTCCTTATATAATTGTGATAACCAGTTAGCAGTTATAGTAGTAGAATTATGCTCATGGTGCCCCATTTTACTTTATTTAACATATGATTTTAAGTTTCTAGTGATCATGGCATGTGCTGCCATTTCTTGTAACCCATTACAGTATTGCCAATGTATGTGTGTAATTACCTAAATGTAAGTACCTAAGTGTAGGTCCAGGATGAGAGCTATGCTCGTGGTGTCCCGTCTTCCCATGCCTCTTTGTCGTATATCACTTTGAAACTACTGACAGTTTTGGACTCCACAACCTTCTCACTTAGCTTGTTCCAACCGACTACCACTCTGTTTGCAAAAGAAAACTTTTTAATATTTAAAATAATTAAAATATTTTAAAGTGTAGCATTAAAAACACAAAAACAAAACATGATTTTTTGTGCCAATGTTTGAATACAAATGTTGGCTATATAGTTCCAGTAGGTGAGTGATGTCTCTCAGCAGACATTGTAAGGCACTAAATAATTTGTCGAACAAACTTCAGCTCGTGGTTGCCAAAGTGGGTGATATGTTGATTGTAGCACTTATCTAGCCAAACATAAGTCTCATTATATATTTATTTTGGTCTTCTCCTAGCATTTGCACACAGAATTATTACTATTAAGTATATTTCATATGAAAAATGAACAGAAAAGTACAGTGTGGTTTGTTTGGTCATGGCTCCCATCACATCGTAATTGTGATACATGTCAGAACGAATATTGAACACAATATTGTGTTCGATATATTGTGAAGACAAATATTGTCCAGGCCAAAATAGGCTTGATATATAATTTGTTTGCATATTCAATACTTTTGAAAACAGGCTAAATAATGATTGTATTTATTCACATTCAGGGTTGACAGTGGTTACGATATCTGGACTTTTAGGGTTAAAAAGATGATATTGTGTAGCTAACCACTGGTGCTGATGTGGCCTATCTCTTGAACTAATAATGAATAAATATTACATCTACTCTTGATTATGATGCAGCTTTTATATACAGTATGAAGGTCTCTCACACATTGTACTGTACTGTGATTTTTCTACGAATCCATTGAAATTGTTGTTTTCCTTTGCTAACTTGAACTACGTTTTTAGTTTGCGAGGACCGGTGACCTTGCCCTCAATGAAGAGGCAAATCTCGTCACACCATCATTTAAAAATAATGTAAAATTTATTTTCAGTCTCGACCGTATGTGTGCGATATCTGCCAGAAAACTTTTAGCCGTGTGTCTACTCTAATTTCCCACAAGAAGACGCATACAGAGGAGAAACAACATAGATGCCACATATGTGGCAAAGCGTTTCACCAGAAGGGTGAGCATTTTTATAACTTGTATGTTCTTAGATACAGTAATAGTAATCCATAGACCTTATTAATATCTTTCCCACCGTGCAATGTAAAGCATATAAATTCAAATACAAATACAAGCACAAGTACAAAGTACAAATACAAATACACTGAGGGGGGCGCGGGGGGGGGGGGGGGCACCAGTGGCTGTGTGGATAGCACGCTGGACACGTGATCCTGTGGCCCCGGGTTCAATTCCGAGAAACGATGGGCAGAGTTTCTTTCACCCTGATGCCCCTGTTACCAAGCAGTAAATAGGTACCTGGGAGTTAGTTGGCCGTCTTGAGCTGCTTTCTGGGGGGCGAGGGGGGGATGTGTAAGGAAAAAAAATAGTAGTTAGTAACAGTTGATTGATAGTTGAGAGTCGGCCCGAAAGAGCAGAGCTGAACCCCCGCAAGCACAACTAGGTGAATACAAGTTTTTATATACATATAAGTACAGTACTATAAATTAACAAAATTGCACCATATCTTTCAACATTTATTGCACACTACACAGCATCGTGAAGAGCCAACAGCACCACACTCCACACTGAAGTTTCTGACGTGGGCGTATATTACAGCTTGTCCAGACTGCTCATTGCACTACAGGGGTAAGCAATGGCACTGGGCTAGGGGGAAATCAACAATAATCCCTGTCCAACCGTGCAACCAGAGTGCCCCATAAGTCTGTCTCAAAACTAAATAATTCTTACAGGGTATAAAAATAAAACAGGTATATAACTATTTGTATAATATAAATTATATATATATATCAAATATTATCATCATTCAGGTATAACAGTTAATCACGTGGCCTACTAAAGTATTATAATATAATAAGGAATTTTCCCCAGATAAAGTGAACTACTAAGACAAAATACAGAAAAATTAAAACAGATAAAACTTATTGGACCAGTTGACTCGAAGGCCAATTATTCCAATTGAATAATGCTGTCCAGTAGTGTCCTATATTTGCGTTATGTATTTGACGACTTCTTTCCTTCTTTGCAGGTAATTTAAAAAATCATCTTTTTACTCATACGAACGAGCGGCCATACAAGTGTGATATATGTGGGAGAGGCTTCAATCAGTCTTCAAATCTTCAATGTCACAAAGCAAAAGTAAGTTAATTATTTGATATTTATTGTTAATTATTGAAAAAAAGAAAATAGTACTAGATAAGTGGACACATGTGGTGAGCCTGGGAAATGTATTACTTATGTGAACGACTTATGAGAAAAGACTATGCACAAGGCCATGTGGAAGCAGTTTATTTAAAGGGATTGAGTGATTGTCAGTGTGGAAGGTTACATGGAGCGCGTTGTACTCAAGCTATGAGAAGGGCTGAGGGACCTTACCTTGAGGTAACCTTGAGGAGCTTCCGGGGCTTAGCGTCCCCGCGGCCCGGTCGTCGACCAGGCCTCCTGGTTGCTGGACTGATCAACCAGGCTGTTGGACGCGGCTGCTCACAGCCTGATGTATGAGTCACAGCCTGGTTGATCAGGTATCCTTTGGAGGTGCTTATCCAGTTCTCTCTTGAACACTGTGAGGGGATTGCCAGTTATGCCCCTTATGTGTAGCGGAAGCGTGTTGAACAGTCTCGGGCCTCTGATGTTAATGCATTTGTGGGACTGCCACAAATGCTTTGCAAGTGCTGTGGTACAATAAGGTGGTGGTAGTTATGTTGCTGAGTCTGTGAGGTGTTCCGAGAGATCTAATTATCTTTAAAAGCTATTTGTCTAAAATAATTTCATGCCCTCTGATCAAGTGTTTCCCTACTCTATGAAAGTCACAAAACGAAAATGTTGATTTTGGAGGATAATAGTATCCAGTATTTAGGATAAGAATGGTGTTGGAATCAGGATTTGTATTTTGGTGAATCACTTGGAAGGTATTGTAAAAACACCTACTGTTCACTTAATATTTTCAATATGTGATGCGATAAAATAATAAGTTTATTAGTAATTTTATATTTTAATAACTTTGTAGTAAATGGCACTCTTGCCTCGGTGGGTAGGGAGGCATCATCCCGGAAAAGATAGAGGAGCATTCCATGTTTCCATTTCCATTTTCTAATTCACTTTAATCCAGTTCAGTATTTTTGTAGTATATACTGCTTGCTTTTCCATCATGTAACTCCTCCTTTGTGTGGGACTATCAAGTGCTTTTTAATACGCCATGAAAAGATAATGTCTTCTCACATATCTCACCTGTGGTATCTTAGTGTCTTAGTGGCGCCTTGTCGTTGAACTCGGTGAGCTTTGTGTGGCATGCCTTGGCCCTTTTAAACCCACGCTGTCTCTTGGTTTCAAACTTAGTCTTCTTAAAGATGTTCGATTATCCTCTTATCCTCTCTGGTATTTTTCATGGGATACATGTCACTGATGTAGTTTTTAAAGTTTTAAGGCTACATATGTCTTGTTTCTTCAATAAGCAGACAATACTTGATGTCTCCCTGGTTTTCAGAAGTTGCCCTGTTCACTCCCAACACATTATACACTTTAGGCAAGAGTTACATATTATCTCTGCTGCCTCTTACAATGTTAGGGAAAAAATTTGGTTTGTTTATATAGATTTGCTTATGTCTAATTCTTCTGGGTATTTCTTGACCACCTGTCCATCATCACTTGTACCAGCCCACGACTATGGCTTGAAGTTGAAGATCTCCTGGAATATCCTGTTGGATTTTTTGCAATACTCCTTGTCAATTTCTTTAAGGATGTTTCCATCTTTTTATTCTATATGTTTTTATAGTAACTTAATTCTTTTTTGTGTTGATTTTTGTATTACAGTATAGCCATTTAATTACTTTGGCTAATATATTACTTTTGCCACTCATTTGTAAACTACATCTCAACTTCTCCTTTGACTGTAGTGCACTCATTTCTGGCTCTTTTTAGTGCCTCAGTACTCTGCTGTCTGTATTTTTTTTATTTTTTAAGCCTTGTTGTTTCTGTCCTTTACTTCCTGGACAGAATCATGGGCTTAGTTTGTTGAATCATGGGCTTAGTTTGTTGAATCATGGGCTTATCTTGCCCGTGATTCCTCCATTTGTCATCCTTCCATTTCTCTTATTTTCCCTTTGAATTTCTTAGTGTTTCATTCTCCTGTAGTTCTGTCTTCATGTTGATCTATTAAACATCCTGCTTCAACTCTACTGTATAGTCAAATTACAAAACTGTTCAAAGGCACTGGCACCAAACAGTTCCTTTTAACTTACACTCTCCATATCCCCTTCAATGCAAGTTAGCAACATATATAATATTGATGTATGGATCCTTTGGTACTTTATTAGCTTAAATGTTTAAATTAGACTTGGAGTAAAATGTTATTTCATGTATTCATTATTATGCTGAATAACTTACTATAAATTTTCTTTCTTCAGTCTCATGCTGATGGCACCCTCAACTATCAATATGTACCTGATAAATACAAGTGTAATTATTGTGATCATGCCTTTGCACGGAGAGCCCAGTTGCGACAACACGAAGAATATAAGCATGGTGTTCGGAATTTGCACGGGTCACGTGTATTATCGGGGTCTGGACCTCGGACTGTGGCAATTAGTAATAATCTGCTTCGTAAGAGAAAGATTGGGAATGTCCGCATCATTCAGTTACCAAATGGAGATAGAACTTTTCAGGAGGTATATGGCATTTATAATCATAAATAATAATTTTGTACTGAAAGTTTTTATTTAATTGGTATACTATACCTGTACTTATCAAATATTTATGATTAACCTTGAATATATAAATTATGTACATAGTACTATGCAATTATTAATTTTGTCTTGGAAAGTTGTACATTTAAACATTTCTAGATTCTTATGGCTAATAATGCTTGTATATTGACATTTGATTTTTTCTAAATTCAGATAGGAACCGAGCCACTAATAAAACACAAGAAGATGAAGCACAAGTCACACGTAAGTGCTTTACTGTGGGAAAAAAGTATTGGTCCCTGTTTTGGTATACAATAATTCAGATGCATTTATGAATTTTTTATAATAGAAAATAAATTTATATTATTAGATAGTATGTTTCTTAGCCTTAGCTGTTCATAAAGGCAATGTTGTATAATCAATACTCTTCATTCTTCTCTCTAAGGGCTGGTATTTGTTTGGTTAGGAATTAATTTAGATTCTGGATATCATACGTGTTGGGGCCAATTAACGCGAACGATTTAAAAGTGGATTTTTTCCGAGCTTAAAAACTTGATCGGGCTCTCTTCGGGACGGCTAAATTTACGACTGATCTGTATTGCCATCACAACTCTTGAATTGTGATTGTATGGTAAATGTCATAAGGTGGTTGGGGGTCGATCCCACAAATCCCTCTTTAAGTATGATGATTAGCTTCATTTGCAACAACCAATGACTCCTATGAAGTCTGAAATGAGAGTTTGAGTGTCCATAGTACTGTATGTTTACCAACAGATTTCTCGGCTGTTGTCGATGTTGAATGCACACTGATAACATTAATTCAACATCGATAACATTACTTGAGCATGTTTTGCCCACTGGGAAAGAAGACAAGAGGGATTAAGTTGGAGAGAAGTGGGAGAGGGAGGGAGTGAGTTAGAATGGGAAGGAGGGAGGGATAATGGAAGACAGACCTGGGCACTGCCAGTTTCCCCATCTAGTAATCTTCAATAGTTTTTAATATGAATAGAAGATTCTTCGGGAATGTGGATCTACTTAAGAAAGCTACATTTAACAATATGGGATACTAATTCAAGTAAACATAGTTCAATTTGCACATCTTGAATTTTGGATGATTAATAATTTCTTTGCTAGCTGGTAATGCTTAAACTGATATTCTTTCCATTTTTTTGTTTTATTCACTAATGATTATTTGATGTTTCAGGTGAAAAGTGGTATTTTAATAGAACCAATAGACACTAAGGCGATGCATCGCGCTCTGGCTGCTGGAAGAACTCCGTTTGCTTTGCTGAAACCAACCAAAGGAGTTCCTGTAGTTGTCAAAGTGCAGTTTGCCTTAGGAAGTAAGCATGTAAGTTTTAAACAAATTTTGTGTGTAAAAATAATAAAGAAATGTTTTCAAAATTTGATTTAGTTTTATATTAAACTTAAATGTGAAGAAAACAAGTTTATTCAGACATGCCTTTTACTGCAGGCTTATAAACCACCATATAAAGAATTTTACTGTAAACTTGTAAACTACTATACAAAAACAGGTAATTACTGTAAATTTGTGGACCACCATACAAGAACAAGAATCTAATGTAAACTTGTAATGCACCATAATAGATGAGCCTTTTTTGTTGATTTATTAATGATCATGTGAGAATAAGCGTCTTTATTTTGTTTGTAACTGTAAACTTAAGAAGTTAGCTCCAAGAGAAATGTCATGTGCAGTAGAAGTGTGTTCGTGACACCTCGGCTTACGAATGCCCCTATTTATGAACTTTTCGGGTTACGAGCCCAATTTCTTCGTAAAATGTGAATCGGCTTACGAGCTTTGCCTCGGGTAACGTAGTTTGTTGATATGCGCATAGGCGATCTAGCACATGGTTCCTGGTGGCACGGTCGCTCGCGCTTCAGTTTACCAGTGCCTCCCGCTTAGTGACGATTGCGCATGAATTCTTTGTAAAGAATTTAATTGTTTTTTGGCTTTTTGGGGTTTTGAACTTAAAAGTAATTATTATATATTACGCCATGGGTCCCAAGAAAGTCAGTGGTAAGGTTCAACCTAAGAAAACACATGTGAGGATGGCCATAGAGCAAAAACAAAAGATTATTCGTAAATATGAAAATGGTACACGAGTTGTTGAACTAGCTAGGTAGTACAACAAATCTTCAGGGAAGGAGGAGGCAGTAAAGGATGACCCTTCCTCATTAAGAAAATGTGTGCAGTATGGGAAGAACTGCAAAGTTTTCCTGGAAAGACTCGCCCAGATAAAGCTTTAGCAGGGCGTTGCATTGACCTTATTAGTGACAACGTGATGTTTCGCTACAGACAAGTGTTAAAATATAGGAAACACAGGTGTCTTTAGACAGATTTCAAGTAAGACAAAGACAAGCAAGCAGTGAGCCACAACCAGTTCCTACTGGTATGCCTGCAAAACATAGAGAGAGTATACCAGAGAAGTCATCAGTGCCTGATGTTATAATGGAAGGGGACTCCCCTTCCAAACACTAACATCTCCCCCCCCCCTCCTCACCATTTTCCATACACCAACAAGTCATCAATAAAGAAAAGCTATAACTTGCACATACTATAGTACTAAATGTGTGTGTGTATTAGGTATGAAATGTATTTTGAAGTTAATATTTTTGGGAGTGTGGAACAGATTAATTCAATTTACACTACAGTATTTCTTATGGGAATATTTGTTTTGGGTTGCAAATTTTCAAGTTACGAACCGTCTCTGGGAACGGATTAAATTCGTAAACGAGAGGGGCCACTGTATAGGACCCAGGGTGTCACGGGAGCGCGCGTTAATTCTGAAAAGTGTATACTCTCTTCAACTTGTCACCTTAATTCTCATCCTACGAGATTAAATTTGGTATCATTGTGTTCGCAATAGAATTCTCTACAGCACTAAATGCATATAAACTCCAAAAGCCCGGCTAATTACCCGCAGCAAACAGAGAAAGTGCGAATGAGTTACCCAGGAGTGCGCAAACGCGATAAAATGTTTTCACTATTTTCACTCTTGTCACATCAATTTTTGTCCTAGGTCTTTCATTTTGGTCTCAATGGGTTCGCAATAGAATTCTCTAGAGGAACATTAGCATATAAAATAAAAAACCTGGTCACGCTCCAACCGCCGACGAGTTGAAGACGGGCCACACGTTAGCCGCGAGTGAGTGCTCAGACACCTTCCAGCTACACTCCCAATTCCCTTCCTTTTCAAGCCTTTCTTTCGCAATTTTCTTCCTGGAAGGGCCTTGTTCATGATCACTATCCATAGTGGAGTAAGCATAGATAGTTTCTAAAGCCGCAGTAAGAAATATAGCCACGGAAAATAGGCGAAATGTTCACACGTTTGAGATGTGAGGGGAGGAGACATTGGTCACAACAGTGGAGCGAAAACAATGGGCCGACGGCGTGTGCCAAGCCACCTGAGGGCCACGAGGCTCAACAAAGAAAATGGGAAGACATCGGCGCACATTTTAATACCAGTCCCCAAAAAATTGGATAAAAACCTGATTTTTGGCGATTATTTAAAGTGGATGACGCAATGCTGCATCATCCCCGGTATTACCGCCAGTAAATGGATGACGCGATGCTGCGTCATGCCCGGGCGAAAGTGTTAATGTGTATTTGGAGGTCGCTCTGCTGAGTTTTCACCCAATAGGTACCCGTGCCTGGCAGGTTCTGACAATGGTATCCAATTGTTGAGAGTTACATGTAGACCAGTTTCTTCCTTTCAGTTTTGTCTGGTGTTTGTTAGTGTGTTGTTCAGGCGGGTAGGATATTCTGTAATAACTATTGCTGGTATGCAACAACGTGAAGAAGGAACTGCAATCATATACAGTATAGCCACTTCTTGTTTGACATGATCGTTGATAATCTTTAGACCTCCCACCTCCCAATCTGAGGCTTTCTAATGGTGCTCATTTCCCACCAGTCGTCTGGGTCCCTGAGCAGAAAACCACAGAACAGGCTCAAATGCTCAAACAAAATCATTGAATTGCTGGTCAACTCCATCACCAAATACTGGAGGTGGATGACAGGTTTCTTTGTTGTGACCTGCATGAGTCATTAGAGGAAGGTGGTCATGGGATGCAAATCATTGTGTGTAGCTATTGCAATCAAGGAAGACATCATCCATCCCTGTCGGTAAACTTGGATTGAAAATACAGTGTAGCAAGATCTGCCGGGAATAAAGCCCTTGTAATGAGCTTTAATTGACTGGAGAACATCCACATGTTGAGAGTCTAGAGGACTGCAGTATTCAGTTCTTGGTTGTCCTTTCTCAAGTTGGGTTCATATTTCAGCATGAAATCTGCACCTCATCAAGCCCAAAAAAAGAAATTTAAAAAGTGCAGAAGTTTGCAAAAAGTAGAATTAAAAGGCCTAATGTATGAGGATAGGTTAGTACTAAATCTTACAACCATACAGCAAAAAAAAAAAAAAGAGAGAGAATATGATAACTACATACAGGTACATGACACTGGGAAGAATAGATAATGTGGACAAGGATGGCTCCTTTAAATTGAAAGATAATATGACAAGAAAATTCGTGGAAACTGCAAACACAATTGTGTCCAATATGAAGAAATACTTGCCTTTGCAAGATTGTAGAAGTCATTTCCTCCACATCGTGAATAGCAGATATGACAACTTCAATGTCTCGAGATTAAATGTGTCGAATACAAAAGGTTAGTAGGCTGAGCAATAAAAGATCTAGATCTCGCTGCCCTGTAGTCATTGTAAGATTAGTACAGCTGGTGAGGTGGAGGATGTTCTGCTCTAGTTTCCAAACACATGTAATTGACCATGTTTCAGAAGCAATCTGGGGCATACCAAGAACCTGACTGACCCCCTCCCCTTCTTCTTCAGATACGATAATGAGAAGGCAGTTTACATGCTCCATCATTATCACATCATTCACAAACTTTCCGTCCCAGTGAATGACAAGAGGGACAAACAAACACCAAGGATTAATTTATCCTTCAAGTTCTTGGTAAATTGGATTCGATGTCATTCACTTTGTTGATGAATTGATATTCAGTTGATGTTTGTATTGCCACTTCATGGCCAAGGCCTACTACTGAATCTGTAACCAGTAGTGATGAGGATCAATTTGGCTCACTTTAGTTGGGAGCGAGTTCTTCCCACTGTGCTGATTGCCCGTTTCTTTACTTGATTAGTGCTAGATGATGAAAAAGAAAAGACCTGCTATTAGGTGCTTCCTGTTCATCATGGTCATCTTGGTGTCATCTCTACTCAATATGAGCCCTATTTTTCATCTGTATCTCCTTTGCATCCAAGACTGTGAAAAAAAGCCTAAGGCACTGCAGTGTCTTCTTTTTAGGAAGGAGAAAAGCTCTGTCCTCCGGAATCTCAGTGAGCTTCAATGTATCTGCCCGAGTAATGTCAGGGTTTCTCCAGCTTGTCAAGCAACTCCTACCTCTTCTGGCCATTCATTATTTGGTCCCTGTGCTTCTTAGCACCTTCCACTCCTTGAACAGCTTTTCCAGCTTCTCAATGAAGTGCTGTGATACCTAACTGGGTTATGGGACTTCTTCCAGGCCGCCATCACTTTCTGGATTGCTTGTGAGGCTGCAGTGTGGGTGACTTTCTTCTTGGTGCTGTGGATATAAAAGAAGAGTACAAACATCTGGTGTTTAAGGGCAATTTTTCTCCACATAGCTCACACACAAAAATCAAACAGGTAAATTAGCATTTGGTTAGGCTGATGGAAGCTTTGGGTTATCCACACTGTATACTATATTGCTGCATTAACCATAGTCGTATGATAGGCAAACATTTAGCAGGCAACGGTGACCTCTAAATTCTTCTAAGCCATTGAACTTAAAAGTTACCAGGACAAATTTTGCAACTACAAGCATTAAAACAAATTGTGTGTTTTGATTGTATGACACATAGTGAAGTTGACAACGAATTATAACAGGCATTCAAAAGTGATTAGATGTTGGGGGAGGGGGGAATTAGGAACTCTAGGAAAATTGGAGGAAATTTCTATAAGGTTTACTGTGGCTGCAAATGAATGAATGAATGAGTGGCTGGATTTGAGGCAGAGTTGACAGTTATAGCAGTTTGTGAAGTTTACTGACGATAATGAAAAAGGAGACTAATAGGATTTGAGCTATATAATTAGGTTTTTGAGGATACACCGTTAAATAAATAAATAAACGAACAAAAATGGTTAGGGCATGAAGTGGCCATGTTGGAAAATGTGACAATTGTTAAAATTGCACGTGAACAAGGTAGTGAATTGGGGAGAGGAATGTGGGGTCGATGAATTGGTGTGTGACGGCAACCAAGAAAAAAAAGGAAGGATAATAGGGATTGAAAATGTGAAGAGAGTTTAATATGAGTTCTTTGAAACTTGAAAGTAAAATGAATGTTTACATCTGTAAGGATATGGAGTTGTCTGCTTCAGCACTGTATAACTTTGTTGGCTTTAGGAAAATATTTGTTTTAGTTGTATGATGTATATAGATAAGGATTTATTACTGTATTTACCCTATATTTAAATGTTTATCTTTCAGATGCTTGTGCCAGCCAGTGCTAATGAGCTGAGAAATGCTGGCAAATTCACAGTGTCCAGTCAACAGTGTGGCACAAAGGCTGTTCAAATTAAGGTACAGTATTTGAGATTCTTGTATCTATTGCTTGTCAGATCAGAGGTGACTTTTTCTCCCCTCTGTATGGAGAATAATGAAGAGGACTGAAGTAGATTGTAGTGAGGAGAACATGTAGAAAGATGAAGTGGGGTTGGAGTTAGGTGACTAGGAGGGACTTAGCACATGGATGCTGCTGGAGGTGTTGATCAGGTTCACTGACCGATTGATTAACATTGCTCATTTAATGAGAGAAGAAGGATGATTAAGCTGCATGCAGACGATGAGTCACAATAACATGGCTGAATAAATCCACAAGGGCCGTCATGAGGGTTTGAACTTACGTCCGGGATGATCCCAGATGCTGCCTTGGTTGACTAGGCCACGACTTGGTAAAAACAATTGCAACCGGGAATTCCACCGACTTCACACGGGTCCTGCACCCCTCTCAGAGACACAAACCAGGGTTTTACACAATTTCCCCATGCACTCGGGCTCTGCCAACAAGTTGTTCTACCTCTTCACCCTCCCTTAATTACACACAGAAATCACAATAGCTTGATGTATCAAATGAATAAATGCACAAGGGACTGTCGACTAAGGCAGTGTCTGGGATCATCCCGGGCATAAGTTCGAACCCTCATCACGGCCCTTGTGGATTTATTCATTTGATGCATCACGCTATTGTGATTTCTGTGTGTACATGGCTGAAGATATGATGACCAAACCACAATTCAGAAGATGGAGAAATGACGACGTTTCTGTTCGTCTTGGACCATTATCAAGCTGTGTGATGATCTGATGATGGTCCAGCAGACCGAAACGCCGTCGTTTCTCCATCTTTTGAGTTGTGGTTTGGTCATCATTAAGCTGCATGATGCAAGTGTAATGGGTTTCCTGGATGAACATCAAATATTAGAGAAAATAAGAAAAGTTGTAGATAAAATCAAGAAGGAAATGTAATTATGATCAGCAGTGTATAGTTGATACAAGGAATGCTTTGATGTGCAATGTACTGTAATATTCAAAATATATTAAAAAGATGTTTATACGTTAATTCCATTGAGATTTAGAGGGTGATAAACACACAGGGAGATAGCTTTCCCCACTAGATGTGTAGATCCAATATCAATTAATTCATATACAAAATTAATCCTAAAACAATTTGTTTAAGGTGAGGACCCTTGAATGTTTCCCAAGTCAGATAAAATTCTTGGTTCACATAGGACTCTCACTCCCCACTATGGTCTTATTGACCTTGTCTTCCCATCACCACTGCCCTTCCTTTGTGACTAGTAGTTTTGCAGATGGTCTTATCATGATTAAGGATAAGAGATGGTCAACATTTTTACTGCATTAATTTTTAATTTTTTTAATAATTTTTTTATTGTATCAATCACACATACCATATACTGTACTGTAGTTACAATAACTGATTGACCACATTATGTATAGCCTGCACTATTCACATTTATTTCACACACACAATTTCCTTTCATTTCCATCACCATACTTGTACTTCTGTCCACTTTTATTTCTTTTGTCTGACAACAATAAAAGTTTTGACTATTGGTAGTCACTCATAAATATCTTATTACTGAAAGAACTTTATCATCTGCTTATATCAAGTTTAACAAATATTTGACATTATCTTGATCCACTAGGTTTATATCTTTCTAATAAATTCTTCTCTTGACCTTTGTCATGTATTTCCTTACTGTAAGTATTTGATTTTTGCAGGTTCCCGTTGTGGCCACTGTGGTTCAGCGCATCGATGGTGACGGCCAGGTCCACATGGATATTGAAGCCCCTGCAGAGGATGACGATAGTGATATCTTGACTAAGCAAGAGGTAACTTTCCTGCATATTACTGTTATGTATATTAACTAATATTGTTTCTCGCATGTGATGTATTGTACAACCTTGATTCAATGATCTGTATGGGAAGAACCCAATTTATTGCAGTGAGGGATTTGTTGCAACTGTAGCTGCCTTCAGATGCCCTATGGGCTAATTTTACATAGCAAAATTTTCTAAAAACAATATGCTCGGTGGCTTTCCCATGGCTCCAACTATTTCTTGTAATGTTGCCTCCATCTGTGAACTCGGTCCCAACATTATAAGAAAATCCACACAAGCCCCACTTCAGCGAACTTGCTCTCTCTCTCTCTCTCTCTCTTTTTTTTTATATATATAAATCAGGTGAGTAAATCCGGTGTGGAAAGTGTATTCAAACCAGAGTCACTGAATCGAGGTCCCACTGTAAATAATTTCATTTGTTACAAAATGTCAGGATAGTGATTTCATCAGAACTTTACTTATAAAGAGGTTTGTATGGTTTAAATAGGGTTTGAAATGTAGTTAAAAATGATTAGCTATCATAAATGTTTAAAAGCTATGTTCACCTACATATTATGGTATCCTATGTGTGTTTCCTTATTCTGTCTTAAAAATAGTCTTCTGTTTCATAATGATATTTGATGTTTGAAAGCTGCACAAACTAAATTGATGATAAATGTTGTTTACTTTGCAGGAGCTCGACTCCAAATCATTACCCTCGCCTGGTACCTCGGGTATCACTGTTGCTGATGACGATGTGCATGTTAATGAACCACTCGTCATTAATCCCGGTGTCATCAGACAGTAAGTCCTCCATGTAGTTGTGGTGGAGCACTTTGTCTAAGCAGATTGGTTTTTGAGTTTATATTTATATATTTTGTTGTTATTTGGGACAATTATTGGTTTTCTGTATACTGTACCGTTAATACAAATATCTATTGGGAAGATTCGAGTTCAAATACTCTAATAGACATGTATTTTTTCATTATGGATGAATGTTTCTGGTTGTAACATATGCACCATATTTCAGATCCATCACAGAGCCAGTTATGGAAGGTGAGGAAGATGATGAACATTCTATAGATGCATCAATGCATCATGCAGATGAAGGAATAATCATTGGTACAGTGGGTGGAGGCGAGCCTATGAGCTATGCTATTGATCAGGATGCTGCTATTACTGCTGCAGCTACAGACGAAAATGAAGGACTCAATTCTGTTGATCTTCTGGCGACTGCTGTGAACCTTGTGTCCCAAGCTCAGATGTCAAAAGGTACAGGATTCATAAGCATAATAATGTATTGTAAATTTTTTTTTTGTTTAACCTAAATTTGATATACAGTGTATTCTCACTGAAATGGATAAATTTGTACTGGATGCAACTGAAATGCATGGAGAGCATTTGGAGTGCTGCATACACAGAGACCAAAACATGATTTACAGCCTCTTACAGAAAATGGAAGGTCGAAAAGGGAAAGGACATAGAATGTGACACCACATCCATAAGAGATGCTAACAACTTGGAGAAAGCCTTGGCAACCAAAAAGGGCAGAGAACAGAGAGTTGAAGAGCTGCCATACCCCAGCCCGTCCTCCTAAGGTTTCCCAACGTCAAGAAACGATCAATTTAAAGTGTCCTCTCCTAACCTAAAAGGGGCTTGACTACTGAGTGGACAGCGCTTAGGATTCATAGTCCTGAGGTTTCGGGTTCGATCCGTGGTGGAGGCGTAAACAAATGGGCAGAGTTTCTTTCACCCTGATGCCCCCGTTACCTAGCAATAAATAGGTACCTGGGAGTTAGACAGCTGCTTTGGGCCACTTCCTGTGGGTGTGCAACAAAAAGGAGGCCTGGTCGAGCACTGGGCCACGAGGACGCTAAGCCCCGAAATCATCTCTAAGATAACTTAGCAGAGGACCCTAAACAGAAAACGGGACATTTATGTCACTTTCAAGAGCCACTTCCATTTTCTAGTATGACAATTTTTGGCCTTGTGTAATGCATAGGAGCGAAAAGAGACGTTTTTTGTAGGAGGACAGGTTGCATATCCAGGGAAGCAAACTGACTGTAACTGAACAGTGAAATTGTCTTGTCACTAAAAACCACAACACATTGGTCGAATGGGATTTTGCCTTGAAGTCCACTTCGACCATAAGCTGAGGGCAAGAGAAAAACTAGACATAATACTACAAAGATTCAGGACAAGGCAGGAGCATACAGGATGCTGTTTAGGAAGGCATAAGAGATTCCTTAGCCACAAACATCAGGAAATGCTCCTTTTCAGAATTGATAAACTCCAGAATTAGTAATTTCCTTCAAGAACTATAGGTTTTCTGCTGCCAGCTAAATGGAGATAGAAAACTGCTATCACACCCAGGAAGCATCAGAGGAGCCAAACTGAGATTACTGTCTAGTTTAGACATGCAAGCCCTCTACCTTGCAGCAGGCTTCTAGTTAGTCCCTGACTAATCAAGCTATTGTGGATATGTGGACCTATGGGCCACTCTCAGCAACAGCCTGTTGGACCAAGTTATCACAAGGCAAGCCTGGCCATGGGTTGGGCTTTGGGAGTAGAACTCTCAGAAATATAGAACCCACATCAAATACTCTTACCGTATTTTTTTTTTATACTCCTCTTACCACTTTTGAGCTCTACCTGGCCCTCTATATATTTACCTTGTTTATCTGAGTGGCTATTCAAAAGATCCCAGTCGTAAGTTATTCCTACTGGCAAATGATAGTCTGTGGATGCTGGCTAGGTTCAAGTTTGTGGTCAACGAAACAAAATTGCAGCTGTCTCCCCGAGGTTGTGCTATGCTGGTTTATTTCCCATTTTCACCTGGCCATTGAGAAGTGCTCTTTGCTCTGTCAGGAGCTTGTGTGTTACCTGGGCCCCCTGAAGGAAAGGAAAATTGCTGATGATCTAGTGCAAGAGACTGACTAGATAAATTTTAGTGCCATGTGGAGAAGGGATATACTGTACAAAGAGTGGTTAGTAATGGTAAGCTTGTGTGTGTGTGTGGTGTTGCACCTTAGGGCATCCAGCTTGGGAAAAAAAAGATATCTCAAGTTAAAACTAAGTGTGGATGTGCAGGTTAGTGCCAATAATCAGACAAATTTATCTGGATCGATATGTAATGAAAAAAAGTGACTGAAAATAATGTAATTGCCTGTATTGTATTTGAAATGATTTGAAGGTTTATTAAAGTTAAAAAAAAGAGCACTTGAAATATTTACTAAAATTGTTCATTGTGATTTGTATTTTGATGAAATAGTTGACACATGGTGTAATAAACAAGAATGATTTTCATAATTTTAATACTTGCATGGGGTTGCCCACAGATGGAATGGCCAGCATGGAAGGCATCCAGTACTTGCGGCAGATGAATTTAGGAGAGTATGAAGTAGTTCCACCAGACCATGCTCAGGCAACACACGTTATGAACCAACATGGCCACATTGAGCAAATCAAGGTACATGCTCTTCTCAATGGTAGTTGTACAAAATTTTATTATTTAAATTTCTCTATTAATATAATTGAAGTACTGTACAGTGTATTGTCTAGAAATCTTACCGTCTCCCCAAATATGTAGCTGTCCCTTACCCCACCCCCTTTATTTTTTTTCTTCTCTCTGAACTGAGTTTAGGATTTTATCATGTACCATACTACTTTAATCACACTACTCCTGTATTACCGGAACTCTGCAGATGGTGGACGAGAGCAGTGCAGTGACGATGGAACAAGCCAATATATCTGCTTTGATGGATGCTTTGCAAAATGCTGGTTACCACTTGGGCACTGGGAACCAACAGATCATTATTAATGCTGATGGCAATGCTATGGTCGTGGATCAGCAGGTAAGCACACTAAGAGACACAGTGCTTGTGATTAGTTATAATCTTTAATTTAATTTGATCTTTCTTCTCTTGTTTGTTGGTTATTGAGATCAGGAGAAAACTCTTACAGTATGTAAGTTGTTTATGTGCAAAATAATGGTGCTTAATAACATGACCTACTCGCTTTACATCCTATTGTACTTTGATGTTGTCAGTTAAACATCGAGTTATTTACGTAAATGTTAATCTTATGCTGAGTATATGATCTCGTACAGCAGGTACAGATGGTTATAGATGGAGATATGGAAGGTGTGATATCATCGGATGGGGTTGTGAGCGAGGCTGTTGACCCATCGGTTAATCTGGTTGTCCATGAAGTGCCCGAGGTGAGGAGAGAGAGAATTCATATTTACTGTGTTTATACTGTATTTTTGGTGTAATTTGTATTTGAGGTTTTTTAAGTATATTTGTTCCTTATGTCTTATGATTTTACACAATCTGCCTAACATACAGTATCTGCTCTCTACTTCACTGGTCACTCATCTATATGCACTAACCCCTTTGACCATGTGCCTTACTGTATTATCCGGCATATAAGAGATACCTAATTTAAAAGGATAGTTTCAGTTTGTTTCATCATACATTTATTGAAGAGAGATTTTCAAGTGATTTTATGAGGATAAAATATATGATTTGTATGCATGTTATCACAGTATATATTTGGTGGTGGAGCTAAGATATACCTCCTGTCTGCTGACAAATATGGTATGTACACAATATTTTCTCATAAATGCTGAACATTTCACATTCTGAACATGTATCTTACTTATCCATATATAGCTCCCTATTACACTTACTCGGTGCCCATTCATTTAATTTCATCTTGTACATGTTGGGGCTTTTGGAGAATTGATAGTTGTTATTCACAATCTTGGAATCTTACTGTACATAACTAAGCTCAAAATTGGTACATAACTAAGTTCAGGGAGGCTTCCCAAGTAAGGTTTACTGTATAACATTTTTGTGATCATATTAGTCTTAAAATTTTATATAAAGAAGTTTCACATTAGACTTAACCAAACTTTAGTGTAATTATCTTCTGCATCAGCACTTGTTAATTCCCTCTTATCCACTTCAATCAATTTTGAGAACAATTTTATTTTCTTATTTTTTTAAATATTAACTTATATTTCACTATTATTCCCCCTCTCTCTTTTCTGGGAAGATCTCTAATTTACTTTTCTATGTTTTTTTGCAGTATCATTTGGTTTATTTAGTTACATAGCCTTCCCGGTTTGGTGCCTTCTTTTGATAATTACTCACTTGGTTTATTTAGCATGAATATTTTCTAAGAAAATGAAATAAAATAAAAATAAATACATGATTTGTTATAATTATCGTTTGCAGAGTATTGAGAGTGACAGTGAGGTGGCGAGCTGAGGATAATGCTACCGCAAGAGGGTCAAGTCATACAATACATCTTCCCTAGCCATAGGGGGATCTTCAGTGTCTTTGCAGTACACTTTGGATGGTATTGGTTGGAAAGAAATGCACATTTGAATACATTCAGGTTGGGGTGCACCGATGGCAACCAATAATACATATAAAAAGTCGGCGACAAGTACTGTATCAGGATTCGTATTTCTTGTTACCGATTGATAAGACCTATATTATGTTTGTGGTCTGCTATATTAGTAGATTAAATTACATCATAATGTAGTTGTCTTGAGTGATAATTATAAATGGCTTTAAAATTGTTTTGACACTGTAACAATAAGATAATACAACTTAAGTAAAAATATTGATTAGAAATGTATTATAGTAACAGCTGGAAATAATTCCAATGAATGCTTAAGGTCCAGAAAGTAAGAAAATTTTGTTTTCATTGGTAATAAAGTTGTTTTGCCAAAATAAAAATATTGTTTTTTTGGGAATAAGGGAATAATGTGAAAAATTGCAAGTGCCTTCAAACTCTTGGGAGTGTGTCCTATTGTTCTGTTAGGAAGTGTGTTTTGTTACTGTAAATAGGTGTACTTTTGTTGACAGGAAGGCTGTCATGACAATGCTATTTAAGTTGTGTGTTTAATTATTAGAGAAAGGAAAATTGGTGGACCTCAAAGATTTTAGGGATTAGCTTATTTGTAATTAGATACGAATATACCGTACATTTATGCACGAGCATAAACATAGTGGATTAGACAAACATGACTCATTATTTACATTATTATAGCCCCCCCACACATCTTCGTTATTCACATACACTCTAATTCCTGCACGTGGTAAGAAACATTCACTATTATTTGAGTAGTTTAGATGACATTGGGTTTGTTTGTGCCTTGATTAGTACCTCACTATATTGTATGGTCTTTATCCTGACTGGGACATAGTAAAGAGGGCAGAGCATCAACACAATGGGTATTTGCACCTTGGGTTATGTGTGATGTTGCACGGTAGTGATACCGGGAAGTTGATATTATTCAGTATTAAATAGGAAAGTATTTGATTTGTTACTAACAGTGTTGAGCTGTGAACAAGATGGTGGGTTCTCTTAGCAGTCTTTTGTCAGTAGCATCATCCCAATCCTGTGATTATTTAGTTACCTGCAATGTCATATTCTTCCTTTTCTCTTCACATCTTCATTAGTAATGAGAAAATCAGTTGGAGCACTGAGGTGACTGAAACAAAGGATCAGGGTACTCCCTGCCGCGCACCTTACCCCCGTACCACAGCATGGTATAAGTTTTACAACCTGGGACTCTGCTGAATTCACTGGAAGTCTGGAGGCTCCTACTGAAGCCAGTCCAAGTTTTGCAATGATGTCTAGGTTAGGTTAGGTTAGGTTTCGATCTACACATTCGCCTGAAATTTGGATAGAAACTCCCCTGCGTCTTGTACTTTGGCTGACTGTCATCTATCACTATACACACACAACCTGATAATGTATTATGGAAATGGAAATTTCCTTATGGAAATAATATGGAAGTATTTCCTTATGGAAATACTTGGCCATCTGTATTGGCCACCCTGCCACTGGTAATTTTGTTTCATCATGCGTTTGCTTGTACCAATGCCAACACTTAACACTTTAAACTTTAGCTTGACAAAATTATATTTTTAACCTACTAAATATAAGTGGTGTGGCTTTGTTGACTTCAGATTTTGTTCGTGATCATCTTAGGAATGCCAGATTTCACTTCTCTTAAACTTCACTTTCTGCTTAAAAGTCACCACAACATATTTCCTCTTGGGTTTGCTTGTTGTTGTTAAGATTTGGTACTTGGAACAAAAAGTTCCAAGTAGTACGGGCTATGGTGAGCCCATTATGGACTATAGTCTTGGGGGTTTGCTGTTAGTTGATGTCTTGGCTGTCATCTTGCATGCATTTTTTGAAAGCCAAGGTGGCAAGATGTTTCATATTTGCTGTTAATATCTTTCCTCCCTAACAATTTTATTTAAGTTCCCATACAGAAACAACAGACTTTGGTCAGGGTGGTGCTCTCTGAGCTTGGTGGTGACACAATCGGTTGCCTGGTAAAACTAATTTTAACTTCTTGTAACTTTTTGTTACAAGAAGTTAATCTTTGTAACTTTTGGTTGTCTTATGTACCGACTCCTGCCCTGTTTTCCTCTTGTCCCATCCACTCCATATCTTTCTCTAACTCTCTTACACACACATGCATCCCCAGGATGCAGCCTGTAGCAGCTTTTTAACAGGGACATCAGGTGAAAGAAACTGCCCATTTGCTCCTTCCTCAGCTGGGAATTAAACCCAGGGCCTTAAGATTATGACCCCTGAGCTCTCTTTTTTCTTGGCTGCAAAGCTGTGTGTATTTAGTGATATATTTTCGTGAATAGTTAATATCTATGGTCTATACTGTGTCACAGTGGGAATTGGGCAAGCATTGAAGAGCCATAAAATTTTGTTTTGTGCCTCAGACCCAAATCCTAAAATACTGGAAATAATTCTGTACTACTGCAATATGTACTAGAAATTTATAACATTAATGCAAAATAAAATAAACATTTTGAATTTTGGGGGCATTGAATGGTTCATGGCCCCAGAGCTTTGCCCTGGGTCAAAATTTCAGTATTATTTTTACCTCTACTGGAATTGTGGGTTGGTGTACAATTAAGAAAATGTCTTAAAATATATTTAGGTGAATGATTTAGTGTAAGTTCTTTGTGATATAGTGTATACTAATTGTTATTGGATGGGTTTATGTAACATCAATCTTTTCATTAATGTGAATGCTTTCTTATATAGGTTAACATACAAGGAAATGGATTGCATTGACAATAAATTGAACTTTGGGTTTAGACATTTCTCTTAAGTTTGTCGAGATTTTTGCCTACATGGCATCTTTTAAGTATGAAAATATTCCTTTCTCTGATTTATTCTGATGGGAGCCTTTTGTCATGAAGTGTGCCAGGTTTCCTTATCATTGACCATCTTCACTTGTATATAATTAGAATGCCAAAAAGTGATCCACATGTGCATGCAGTAAACATTGATTTACTTGTTTCAAGTAAGTTGTGTTGTGGTATTTGTTGTTTAAGCCAGTATTAGTTGGCCAGATTAATTTTGAACATGCTAAATGTATTATGATGTAATTCCAGTGTTATGCATATAACTTGCTGTCTTTTCCTCTGAAGTTTTGTGTTGACCGAGGCGCATTTTGGGTGCCCTGCTTCTGCTCGGGTACAAAACATTCCGCATACTTTCATGTAAATTGTTCTTCAGTCGCTTTCTGAAAGTTAATGAAGTGTATCTTGGTATGTACTGTTCTTGCATTGTCTTTCAAGGTACCTTCTTTGTATTTAAATTTTATTTTCATCTCTTATATGCATCTTATGAATTTACTACTCAATGCTAATCAGTCAAGCATAAAATGCTTGAGGATTAATGTTGAGTTGGTCTTGAGCTTGTACGCTCTTACTTGATGATTGCATTTGAGGCATTGGTGATCCACTAGATTGATCAGAAAGTTCAAACATCCTTGGCCCAGAGTATTTACTCACAGCATCAATACATAACACCCTCCCTCTCTTGTCTGTTATCAGGGGAAAGCACCAAGTCATTACAACTATATAACACTTGGAAGGGAGTCAAGATAAGGATTTGGGATGGGACGGGGGAGGGGGGAATGGTGCCCAACCACTTCGACGGTCGGGAATTGAACACCGACTGTCGCTCTACCGTCCAACCCAAGTGGTTGAGCGACAGACAGAGAAAATACCAATAAATTTTGGGTCAATTTACAGTATCAAATGTTAATAACCAAGAAATAATAACTGTTCAAAGCCCTCTGATAGTTTTGAATGTTAAAGGTGTGACTTATACTTTTGTTCTTTTAAAGGTCTGTAGCAAATACAGTTTGATTTCCAAATTTCAGAGTTGTGATAACTTTTGAAGTTATAAGAAATGAGTCTTTGGATGGTATTATAGATGTCTTATAATATCAGAATTTGCAATACTGTACTGTAATTTAATTCAGGCTGTGCCGTGGCTTTTATGCTGGTTACATCTATACAGCATTTATTATTAGGCTCGTTCATATGCCTACAGGACAATTATTATATATTTTTTAGCATGAATTTGAATACATTATTTGCCATTTTATATGTACAGTATTTTGTTGTAATAAAACATTCATTAATGTTTCACGGTACTATATTCCCAAAATCCAAGGCCTTGGATTGTGAAATTGATTTAATACTTCACATTCGGCTATAAAATAGCCCATTTGCATGAATTTATATGCAGTACTGTACATGGAATGGTAATTTTAATGTAGAGCCCTCAGGATATTTTGGAATGCCAAGTGTCTGATTCAAGACTACATTAGAAATGCTGTTTGTGAGTAATTGGAGATATTTCATCTTCATGCTAATAGGAAACATGTTAGCGAGTAGTGAATGTACTCGCCCCAATTTCTGTCTGTAGGCGTGGTATCATTTGCATACAATCTAAAATTGTGTTGTAAAATTAATTAAATCTCAACCATGGTGCATTTTACTCCTGACATTTGACCTAGTGACTTACACCATGTAAAGTTTGAGTTAAACTGATATAGAAATCAGGGACACTACTCCATAGTATATTAAATTATAGGAATGCAAAGATTGAAAGATTGGATTTTCATTTATATTAAAATTTTTTTTTATAAAAACGTTTAGAAAGATTCTGATGACTAGCTTTACACGTATTATTGCTTGAATTAAATTAAATAGTGCACGAGGATTAAATTATCGAAGTTCTTATGATTAAAGTGATAAACACATTTCTCAAATACATAGATTGTGAGGTGAAGGACCTCACACATTTGTAACTGTGCACACTTTGCAATTTACTTGTGTGTAGCTATTTTTTTTTTTATTTTTGTGTTGCGTGAAGATAAATGAGACTGAAGGTTATAATTTCAGTGTGAAACCGTTTCTATATTTTATTTCATAGCATATAATTCTTTTTGTGCTTTGAGTAACAACTTAAACTGGTGTGGTACAGTTTATTCTTGTTGTAACAACTGCTGTACATTGATAATACAGTGTTACAATGAAGAGTTGTATATAAAGATGCTATTTTTTAATAATATTTCTTGTGTGATGTTTGACAAGATTTCTTCTTGTGTATATGTTACTTGTGATTGTCAGTAACATTAACTTATATCTGGTACTAGTTCTTTGGCCAAAGCATTAATTGATAAGACCTTAAGTACCTGATAATAGTTCTTAGTGCTGCTCAAGTTCAAAGTTCTGCTGGCAGTTCCTGTATTTTATTTTTCTTTAACTGTACTGAATAGGATTGGAATGTGTTTAATTGGATTTGCTTGAAAGTGTGGTTGCCTTGTAGTGTACAATGGTGCAAAGAAGTTGTTGAATGAAGTTGGGTAAGAAAATTAATGTTTTATTATCCTTTCCTTTGTAAATACAAGTCTTCCCTGCTTGGTGACTTCCTTTGATAATTATTTGCTTTCTCATTGTAGATATGAGTTGGTGAACTTTTATGTTAAATAATATATTTTGTGCTCATGTTATTTATCATCTTTATGCCGGTGACAAAAAACAATGACTGCTTAAATTGTGAAGGTACATTGCAAGTCTATATCATTAAGTTAGGAATCTTGTAAATTGGAGAAGAATGATTTTATTTGCATATTTATCAGCCAGACAGATTTTAAACAAGTGATTGTTTTTACATGTCTTTGCAAAATTTGCTGTTAAAGAGTGGTCTAAATACTTTAATAATCCTGGGCAAGATTAACCCAACCCACATAGGTAGAGAAGGTTGTTGTTGTTATAGATTCAGCTACTCGGAACTAGTTCCAAGTAGCACGGGCTATGGTGAGCCCATAGTGGACTTACCTGGCACAGTAGCGGTGCTGTGATGTCTCTCGGTAGAGAAGGGAAAGTGATAACAGTGGGATCTTTCCTTTCTAACTTGTAATCCCTTTCTTTATTTTTGTCCTTCTGTGACAAACAGTTATTTTGTCAGTTTCATGTAGTACTTTGTGGAACAATGCTCATTAATGCAGAAATTTAGATGATGAGATGGAGAGAGATGGATAGTTAACTGTGTTCCATAACACTATTTCTCAATGACCATCTTTGAGCCATCAAAACCGAAATGGGAGATTTATTAGTCTGCATACTGTTAACCTGTATTTGGTCAACATATTCATTTGATGGGAAGGAAGCCTGTCCTAGATACACCATGTGATTATTTCGGAACTCGTCGTCCCCGCGGCCCGGTCTCTCAACTAGGCCTCCAAATACTGCTCAGTACATTCAGGAGTGAGTACTGCTAAGTATTCATTCCTTTCAAAGCAAGAAATTTTTGAATACCTAGAGATATAGCTGGCAGGCATAGACAAAAAAACACTTATATCATTAATTTGGTTGGAGACGAATTTTGTGTACTGTATATATTTATTTTTATTTATTTATTTATACAGTATATACAAGAGTTCTTACATTCTTGTACACAACTAGCATGCATAGCGTTTCGGGCAAAATATATATTATATAATATATAATTATATACTATATAACGGTGGACTCGTTCTTGATGCACAATCGAGAATTCCGGGCGGGGCAGAAATGGATGAGCACATTTCTTTTCACCAAATGCCTCTGTTCACCTAGCAGTGAGTAGGGACTCAGGAGTGAGTCAGCTTGTTGTATCTGGTTGCAACCCGTTCTCGCAAATTCCGGTCAATATTGACTTATTAAATATGTGCATAGGTGACATACTTAACATAATAGTTTCCCTTGAAAAGCTTCATAGAAAACACCGACCTTACCTAACCTACTTAGTATATTAAGATAAGCATCTTATTGCTGGGCGGGTCAGTAATTCGGGCTACGGTGGGAGGGGGGGGGCGACCTCGATACAGAGCCAAAACAGGTATGAATACACCCTGGCTTCATGTCCCCGACACAATAAATTATATAGGTTGTATTTGTCAACGGTATCAAAAGTTCTTCGTGAGTTAATGAAGCCTTAATTATAGCAGAACAAGTTCGCCAGTTCTAATATTATGTAATATATGCTCTTGGGATCTAAAGTCGTTATGAAGTTTCTATAATTACTACCTTTACTATATTTTGTATAAAATTTATAAGTTAAAAATGAGTCTGTACTTATGTTAGAGTTGGTGGGAAAGAGAGAGTAATTTTTTGATGTAGCCTATGGTGCTATTATTATTTTATATATATATATATTTCAAGTAGGTCTACGCGAGGGCAAGCTTGAGATTCAAGTGATTAATTGATATATAGCCTATGTAATGTACGTTTATGTTACGTTGTTGGGTTGATTAGATACACAGTGTTTAGTGAGTTTCATATTTATTTAGTAGTCCTGGATACAGCAGTGTCGTAGACGTTGAGATGAAACCTGAAGCAGAGCAGAGAGCTGAGTGAGGCCGGAGTCGTGGAGCTCTATGTTGGAGGGCGTGCGGCTCAATTGGGAATAGTGAGTGTCTGAACTCGGGAGCGAGAGCGTGGCGGCTCGATGCGGTCGTAGTCTGCAGTCTGCTCTGTGTCGAAGTTGTAGCGTCTTGGGTCGATTAGAACTGTACACGCCGAGTGCTACATAGTTGACTGGAAATTGTCCTCTTCGCTATTCATCAAATCGCTTGTTTATATGGTGATTACACCTCAGCTTCCTCCAACAAGATGAGAAGAGTATTACCTGTAATTGGGGAAAAGATTGTAGCTTCTGTAATTAGTGCTAATTAGTTATGCTATTATGATAATGAGATAATAGAGCGAGTATAAGATTAACTCGCTACACCTACATCACCCCAAAATCCTTCCTTTATTCAGATTTCCATTCTATAATTAATAACGCAATACACAACAATTGCAGTAGTATGGATGTGCTTAATTACAACCAATAACAAATTTAAGAACCCTTGACAAATATTCATTTCCATGATCTTACTCGCGATGTAATACAATATGAAATGGGGAATGTTGTTATCCCGATTTTATATATTTGACCGACAAGAATAACCCACAAACACTTGACGGGAAAATAAACCTGCAGTTTATTTTCAATTGCAATTTAAGCATTGTTAAATCTTTCATATAACAGGTTTCTAATTTGGGGAACAAACTTTGCCATCCTACTATCAAATTGCATTGTTCGGGCTGTACATAATTCACATTTATTGTAAAAAGCCTCGATTTTTCAAAATGATTGAAAAATCCGTTTCCTAATAAATTCTTAAATTCAAATAACATTAGATAAAATATTCAGTGACTCAAAGAATGTCAATATAGTCAGATACACATGTATTTGTACCCGGTATTGGCATGATAAATATACTAAAGGGATCACCACCCCGTGACGTCCCAGAGCGGTGTGGTGATCCTAGTACCTAGTACTAGGATCTAGTACTATAGTACTAGGATTTAGTTCCTAGCCGACACACACAGCACCGCTCCTGTGCCAGGTAATTCCACTACGGGCTCACCATAGCTCGTGCTACTTGGAACTTGTTTCGAGTAGCTGAATCTATAACAACATCCTAGCCGAACCGGCGTAGGGTGACCGCCTCCCTAGGCAGTCGCAGTAGTGAGCAGTGACCTGTGTTGGAGTGACGGACACCATCCAGTGTGACTTGTGTATACCTCGCGAGATGTATGTACCCCGGCCGCTTCTGGGTGTATACACACTTTCTTGTATACTCCTGACCAATCTTCAGGGCCAAAGTGTACTTAGCGTTGATTGGTCAGTGAGCTCTTGCAGTTGTGGCTAGTTAACAACCCTGCTGCGCTAAATAGGCCTTAGGCACAACACCAAACGTTGGACTGTAATCAAATGTCAGAGTTGATATTCCTGAAGATGATTCTATAAGTTATTTGTTTTTTACTGGAGAAGCTTTATACATGGTGGCATGTATACCTTGGCGGGGCGGGCACGCGCATACTTCACAAGTGGGCTCGTTAATGGGATTCGGAACCAGCCAAGTAGCCAAGTACGGTCATAGAGTCAGTCTTCATTGTACTCTTAAAAGTAAGTTGAAAATGTCTATTAAGATTAATTTTGTTGTAATAGCAAAATGTATATAATAGTTTGTAAAAACTCGGTGGGTAAGCCTAAGGCTATTTGTCCAACTGCCCAATTCCACTTTTTTCAGGGAAATTCCTGCGCGGGCCCAAAGCCTCTGACTGGCCCACTAAGTGTTGCTAGTTTCCCGGAGGAGTATTAGTATTTATGACTCGTATGGTCGCTTCAGTAAGATTTTGTCCCATGAGTTTAACAACTTCTGCTCTGTTGAATCTAAGTTGAAATGTTAATGGGTTTGTAACTGTGCACTCTGTTAGATAATGTTCCGGTGGTCTGTCGGGCATTTCTCCAGTGCTGACATTTCCTCTCATCTTCCGGAACCTGTAAGCCATGCACATGGGTATCATTTCCACCTCCTTACGTACATGAGCTAAGTATTTATTTAATTATTCATTAATTTATTTATATACAAGAAGGTACATTGGGTTGTGAGAGTACATAACATCGATGTTCTTACATTTCCAAAGCCACTAACACGCATAGCGTTTTGGACAGGTTTTTAATTTACAGATAAAAGTAAGAGTAATTAAAAGGTACATTATAGCAGAATTTGATTTCAACATTAATAACTCGACACTAACTCAACATTAATAACTAACATACTAGCTCTATCTATATATCAATCCATTAATGTAACATCACTTGTATGTATATACCTTACCTGAATAAACATATTTATTTATTTATTATTTAAATAAATACAGTTTTGATATTCCTAGAGTACGACTTAATCAAACTAGAAATGCTCTACAAATCAAGGGACCCAGAATGTGGAATGACCTTCCCAACCATGTTAAAGACTGTACCTCTCTCAACCAGTTTAAGATAAAAACTAAACACTACCTAATAAATTCCCTGTAACCTACCTCACTCCTCTATTGTCAACCCATGTCTGTAATTTTTTTTTTTGTTTAATCAACACTGTTTGTCAACCTATTGTATTTGTGCTGCTTTTTCAGCCATGTTCCCCCTTTTTTTATCTTTATTTGTATTTGTTCTCAACACTTGTTATTCTTTATGCTCAATTAGTATTAAGTTCTAGATATTAATGTTTTTCTTGCCCGAAACGCATTGCGTAATAGTGGCTTTAGGCATTGTATGTACTAGCTCTATCTATATATCAATCCATTAATGTAACATCACTTATATGTATGTATGTACCTTACCTGAATAAACATATTTATTTTTATTTTATTTTATTTTAACTGTATTGAAAGTTGATTGTATTGATTAAGCTGGTGATGTTGCACGTCCTGAATACTAAAACTGGGTGAATGGGTAGTATAGGAGACAGTGTGAATTTGAAGCACAAAGTAGGAAACTGAGCATATAATTAGATACTTTTTTGGTTTTACTTTCGAATAAAGCATAGGTTAGACAATTTTTAATTCATTAGAGAATGATTTCCATAGACTGGATCCTTTTATTTGCATGAAATGTTTGAACAGATTTAGTCTGACTCTAGGAATATCAAAGATATTTATTTCTAGTGTGGTGCTCATGGGTTCTATTACATCAAGGAAGAGTTTCCGCTCAGGATTAGTATTCAGGAACAAGGTTTTTTACATGCAAATATCACAAGAGAATGTGTGGAGAGGGTGTATGCTTGGCAGAGTTTGTTACATTTCTGATAGATTTTTGCAGTGATGATGGGCATGAGGTGATCAGGTTAAATAGATTCGTGGGTAGTATAGTGAAATGAGAGCAGAGTGGGGGAACACAATATTTGATTTTAAAGAGTATACTCGCAGTTTTTGAGACTTTATGGCAGTGTGTTATATAAGGCGTGCTGAAGTTTATTCTCTTGTCAATGTATATTCCAAGGAACTTTCAATAATTTTTAATGCTAATGTTAACATTGTCTGTCTGAAGCTGACTTTGGTTTGAAGATTTACTTCCAAATAAAATCTAGTAGGTCTTTTCTATGTTTTTCTAAATGCACTTCATAGTATAACCTGGAAATCTGAATTCATTAATACACAGGATATAAATTCATTACCCGACATTATCTATTTATTTATTTATATACAAGGAGGTACATTGGGGGTTAAGAGAGAACATAGAAATGAAGTTGATTTTATATTCTTGTAAAGCCACTAGCACGCATAGCGTTTCGGGCAAGTCGTTACTTATAGTAACAACGAGGTCCATAGTATATATATACCGACGTACAACGAAATTAGATAGTAGAAGTCGGCACTATTGAGTTGGACAAACCGGAAAACTATTTTCTAATTATGTTGCAAAGACAAACTAAACTAACCAAACCTTTCTAGGCCTAATACACGATATCTGAGGCCTAATATAGTACATATGTGTGCTATACTAGGCCTAGGAATATTTAAGTATGTTTTTAAGTTTCCCTCCACGCCTTCCACAAGTGTGTATCTGCTTGTACAATTTTTTTTTTTAATTCACTGCTTGTCCTCTGAAGTGCTTCTTGCGTCCCTCTGACCCATCACTGTTCCCAGATCTCATCTATTTCACTCGTGTTGCCCTAACCATTGCTGTTGCTAACCACCAATATGTAGCCAATAACATAACCTTCCCCACTCTACCATTTATTTATTTATTTATTTATATATAACAAGGTACATTGGGGGTTAAGAGAGAACATAGAAATGAAGTTGATTTTATATTCTTGTAAGGTAGAGAGTATAAAACATTGATGTTTTAAATTCTTGCAAAGTCACTAACACGCATAGTGTTTCGGGCAGGTCCTTAATCTAACAGATAATTTTAAGTTGGCACTGCCATTAAGATGAGATCGAGTATATTAGTCGTGGCAAAATCGACTAAGGCGCGTCTGGGATTATCTCGGACGTAGGTTCAAACCCTCATCCCAGCCCTTGTGGATTTGTTCATTTGATCGATTATAGTTCAGAGCGAGTCCTCGGTTTCTATAGTAATGAAGTTTAAGTAAGAGGCAATTATGGTTAAACACCAGTGGCAAATGTGTTTAGATCTGATACCTATGTCCACGGGGAGCACGAAACATTCACACTGGTGGATGTTGACAGTGGTTGCTAGGATCAGGCTGGTCTTCCACTACCTGTGGCTGGTAGCTACAAGGGACGAATCTCCCAACTCTGACTTGTAAACACGTGTAAACTGTGTGAGCAGAAACTGGGTTATGATCCCACACACGCCCTTGAGGAGATACCAACTTTAATCTACAAAAAAGCCTCCAGATCTTTAGCCCCTGCTATTGCTTTGCTCTTCAACAAGTCACTTGAACTCCAAACCTTTCCAGATATTCTAAAGAAAGCGAGAGTAACGCCTGTCCACAAATGTGGTGATCTCACAGATGTTAACAACTACAGACCTATATCAATCCTGCCAAACTTGTCAAAATTTTTTGAAAAACTATTCTATAAGCAGCTTTACTCATATCTAGCCAAACTCAATATACTTAGCCCTTGCCAATATGGCTTCAGGCCCAAAAAAAGCACTAACGATGCACTTATTAGTATGCTTAACTCGATTCATACAGCTCTTGATAGAAATTAGTTCCCTGTTGGGTTATTTGTGGACCTGCGTAAAGCTTTCGATACTGTCAACCACCAAAACCTTCTTCTTAAATTACATCATTATGGTGTCAGAGGACACTCCCTACAATACCTCAAATCCTACCTTACTGAAGGCTCCAATGTGTTTCTGTGAATAATACAATTTCTCCCACCCTACCCATCAACATTGGTGTTCCCCAGGGCATGCATACTTGGCCCTCTCCTCTTTCTCATCTACATTAATGGCCTTCCAAATGCCTCCCAACACCTCAAACCAATTCTATTTGCTGACGACACAACCTTCATTTACTCCAGTCCTGATCCCCTTGCTCTAAATGCCACAGTAAATACTGAGCTAAATAAAGTCCATCTGTGGCTAACTGTCAACAAACTCACCCTTAACATTGACAAAACTTTCTATATTCTGTTTGGCAATAAATCCTCTAATCAAATAAATCTCAAAATAAACAATACCCAAATTTGTAACAAATTAGATGGCAAATTCCTTGGCATTCTCATTGACCACAAGCTGAATTTCCAGGGACACATTCTAAACATATCAAAAAAAGTTTCAAAAACTGTGGGCATTCTTTCTAAGATCAGATATTATGTACCACGCCCTGCCCTGGTGACTCTCTATTACTCCCTTATCTATCCATATCTCAACTATGGTATTTGTGCTTGGGGCTCTACTACCCAAAATCACTTACGTCCTCTAATTACTCAACACAAAGCTGCTATTAGGACAATATCCAATTCTGGCCCCAGACATCACTCGGTACCCCTACTCAAATCTCTGAATATGTTAGACATTAAGTCACTGCACATTCTCTCATGTGTATTATACATATATAAAACGCTAAACTATAATGCCAATCCTGATCTCAAAAGCTTCATAGAAGGTTGTAACAGAACCCACGAGCACCACACCAGAAATAAATACAGTTTTGATATTCCTAGAGTACGACTTAATCAAACCAGAAATGCTCTACAAATCAAGGGGCCCAGAATGTGGAATGACCTTCCCAACCATGTTAAAGACTGTACCTCTCAACCAGTTTAAGTTAAAAACGAAGCTATACCTAATAAATTCCCTGTAACCTACCTTACCCCTTTGTTGTCAACCCATGCATGTTTTGTTTTTTTTTCAAATCAACGCTGTTTGAATGTAATTTTCTGTAATAATTTGTAATTGTATTTGTGCTGCTTTTTCAACAATGTTCCCCCCTCTTTTACCTCTATTTTTATTTGTTCTCAACACATTTTATTCTTTTTACATATTAGTTTTAACCTTTAGTCATTAATGTTTTTCCTGCCCGAAACGCTTTGCGTAATAGTGGCTATAGGCATTGTATGTACTAGCTCTATCTATAAAGCCAACAAACTTTGTAAAATCTCTTTATGTATGTACCTTACCTAAATAAAAATTATTATTATTATTATTATTATTATTATTAAACGTCTGGTCATTAGACCCAGCAAATCTGCCAGCATGAGATATACCTGGAGCTTTGTAATTACTTTATTCACTCTCGTGTTCTTGATAATATACTCATAATGCATCTCAAGTTCGCCAGTGCAGATCACATAACCCTGTATGATTAACCATCCTGCGAGATGAGTTTTTTTTTTTTTGCATCACTCTTGACACATTTTCCCAGCTGCATAAACTTAAGATGTATACCTATGTTTGTAAAAAAAAATATGGGGTGACTACTGTAGCATAAAGGAGTATATATTGGGATTAAACACGACCCGAGCATTGTGCATATCACTTTATTTGGAATAAAACATGACATTTTCAACAAAAAGTGGAAACAGTGAAACATTCATGTGACTGAAAGTGATAAATCAAGCTACAGATAAAAAAAGATAGAAAATAAATATGTCCTATTCTCAGTTTTACAAAATAGCTTGTATTTATCAGGTTATATGGCTTTTATCAACACTAACATTTTTATTTACAGAAAACTGTTCGATTGATGCATGACATTTAATGATCAGCTGGACGTGAAACTGGCGGCGGGAAATATAGTTAAATGAGAAAGAATTAATGAAATAGCATATTTGCCCTGGATACTTTAGTATCTAGAAATACAAGTAGTTAAGAACACTCCATAGGCGAGCATAAAGGCCTAATTTACTAGAAATAAAAGTAAGAACTCTCTCTTAAGAGATTCCATTCACAAAATCCATTCTATTCCAAAAAACAATCTCTAAGAGATTATTACATAAGCCTAGTCCACTGGAAATAGAAGTATCCAAGAACAATAAAGATACAAACAATAAAAGATCATTGAACCCAAGAAATAATTTCAACGGATGTGTGATTAGATAAAAAAAAAAAATAAGGGGAGGGAGGGAGGATTCAGAAATTTTTTCGTTAGGAATTATTATTTTTTTACTAACTTGTCTTATAAATATAGATAAATAAAACTAACTTGTCTTATAAATATAACTTGTCTATTAGAATATTAGACTCAAATTGAAAAGGTAATGGGAAGACTGAAAACTAATGAAAATTACAAATTAACAATAAAACTTATTTGATTCACATTCAAAAATCTGTAAGAAAAGTTTAAACTGCTTCGGCCAAAAATTATAAAATGAAGGTGTAGAAAAAATTTGAATAAAGAATATATTAAAATCTAAAGTTGAAGCAAATTTGTCAAAATTTAGGTTTTCACGATGACGTGAAAACCTTAATGATACCTGCAGGGTCAATCGGGCCTGGGGCTTAAACTGTATTCTAACAATAATAAAAATAAGTTTTTAAACAAGCAAGATTCAATCAGTAATTTTCAGTCACAAGATTTTAGTACAAATTTTATTAATACAATTGCAAGAATTAAAACAAAAATCCCGAGCAAGAAATAAAAGATTTTAGGCAGCCATACTCTTGCAAACATTAAAGATGAAGAGAATGAAACTTGGAGGTAATATCACAAAGATATAAGATTGATGAAAAGACCTGCAGACGAATGCTTCTGTAGATCCCACAGCGTGAAGGCAAACTGATCAGGAGAGGTCCAGCCACGTTGAACTCTTGACGGTGAAACATAGAGCATGATGAATCATAACTAAACCTAAAAAGCTCCCAGGTGAGGGATTGTACATTGGGAGAATTTTCAATGAGGCTTCTTTAGTTTAAGAAAACATTTTTTTGGGAGTCGACGGCGATTCTTGATGAAAATGGCGGTGGGATGATGACATCGATGCCTGAAGGCTCCTTCCTCACGACGGACTGTTGGAAATATAATAATTTTGTAAGTACATAATTAATAAATAAACATCTTGTAAATAATGGCTAATAACGTAAAATAGTACCCGGTAAAATACAAGCACAGCTACAAACAATAAAACAACTGTATTATTATTATTTGTTTTTCTTTAGGATAAAAACCCACACCCTTGTATATGTGAAATTTATGTAAGGAATTTACAACACGTTCAAATTTCACATATACACAAGTGCAGCTTTTTTTTTATCCCATGTTAGAATGTCTGTGAGAAGACATTACCATTACTAATATTTATTATTATCATTCGGTACCAGCTACCTCTCAACCTAAAAATTATTTCAACACACCTTGAGTCCCTGGCCGTCCTTGTTGTCCTCATAGGTGACGGTGTAGACGAAGCCGTCGGGGAGGACGTAGCTGTAGGAGCCCTTCACACGGCCTTCTGAGTCGGAAACCTCGGCCCGGTTCTGGTAGTTGGTGGTGTTGTCGTCCCTTACCTCGAACCCGAAGTTGTAGGGCTTGGGGGGCTGTGGTCCGGATGGAAAGGAGATCAGATAGGATATTTATATATGTATATTGTTTTCTATTTAATTTTGCATTATGTTTGGATGAGGTGGGTAGCAACGTTTGGTTGCCGGACAGAAATGAGGGAGCTAAATTGATATTTGGCTCAGTATCAAAGCATAATGAAAGGTGGTAATTGGTTCAGAGTCCTGGCATGAGGGAAGGTGGTATTTGGTTCAGAGTCCAGGTATTGGTTGTCAGGCATGATAGTGATACCTGGTTGTGTCTGGCATGAGAAGGGGGGGAGGGGTGGATATTTGGTTGTGAGTCAGGCATGAGGGAGGATGATATTTGGTTGTGAAACAGAAATGAGTGAGACATGACTAGAAAGGTAGATACAAACCTGAGTAGTGGTGAGGGGTTCTTCGGCTCGTAGGGCCAGCTTGGCCGCCACCGCCACAGACACCAGACCAAACATAACGATTACCTGTTAAATAATGTTGAAAATGTACACATTACTCAGGAGGCATTTGAATGTATAGGTCGAAGCAATTTAGTAAGAATATTTTTATCAGAACATGGTTCCTGAACCCTTTATGTGCCTCTGTAACCCATTCCACCACCACCCAATGGATAGGTATGGGGTGCATAACAAATGAATGAATCAAGAGGTGTGAAATAACTTTGCAGTAGTTAGGTTTACTCACCATTGCATCGACATCCTACAAAGCACGCTTACCAGAAGCCTATGTTGCCTATGCTTTTATAAGTCTCAAGGAAGTGCAAAATATGTATTTTCTAATTAATGGCCTGAAACCGACACAGTTCTAAACTCGCCAACCATACTCCCCACTGCAGACAAGGTTCTTTTTGTAATCTTATGAATAAAAACTGTTAAACAATTTAAAATATTTTGAAATATATTTATCAAAATGTACATTTTGTAGCCATTTTTTAGCATGTCGTTGCACCTTTTCTAGTTTCTTTATGTGTATCTTGAGATTTGGGCACAAAACAACTGCTGCATATTCCAATTTTGGTCTCACAAAAGTCATTAACAGTTTCTTTAGTATTTCACCATCCAAATAATTAAAAACAAGTCTGAAGTTGGAGAACGACGCATACGCTCCTCTCACAATGTTCTTTATAAGTTCCTCTGGCGACAGCTTACTATCAAAAACCACCCCAAGGTCTCCTTTATTTGAGTTCTGTAATTCCTTGCCATACAATTTATAAGTTGTGTGTGGTCTATTTTCTCCGATTCCACATTCCATAACATGGCATTTATTCACGTTGAATTCCATTTGCCACTTTACGCTCCAATCACTTATGTTATCTAGATAGATTTGAAGGGCATTACAATTGTCTGTGCCTCCCATCTTCCCCAGTATATTAGCATCATCCGCAAACATGATCAAATAATTATGTATTTCTTCTGGTAGATCGTTTATGTCGGATGATGCTGGTGCAAGAACTGAATCTTGTGGTACTCCGCTAGAAACACTCCTATAGTCAGGAGTGAGTTAGGAGATACATTGTCTCCTGATTACTTCCCTCATCTGTCTGTCAGAAAATTTTTCATTCATGTCAGCAGTCACCCCTCCAGCATGTTCCAGTTTCCAGAACAGCCTCTTGTGTGGGACTCTTGTCAAAAGCTTTTTTAGGTCCAGATAAACACAGTCAACCTAACCACCTCTTTCCTGTAGTGTCTCTGTGGCTCTATTATAAAAACTAAGTAGATTTGTTACGCAGGATCTTCCTGTTCGATAACCATACTGTCTGCCAGTTATTATGTCATTACTCCCTAGGTGCTCAACCCACTTGGCTTTAACTATTATTTCTAGTGTTTTAACCACCACGCTTGTTAATGATACGGGTCTATAATTTAGAGGTTCCTCTCGACTACCATTTTTATAGGATGGTACTTTGTTTGCCCTTTTCCATATATCTACTAAAATTCCTCTGCACAAGCATGTCTGGAATATTAATTAGAGTGGAATGCTCAGCTTAGTTGCACATTCTCGCAGCACCCAAGGTGAAACTCCATCAGGTACAACAGCTTTATTTCTTCCTAGCCGCAACAAGTAATTTTTCCACTTTGTTGTGAGATACCTCTATGTATTCTATAGTGTGCTCTGGAATTGGTATTGGGTTCGGTTCTATGAAATCCTCATTTTGTACAAACACACTTTCGAACTGTTTCTTTAGCGTTTCACACATTTCGTTTTCATTCTCAGTAGTCCTATTCCCCGTTCTCAATCTCTGGATTTTATCCTTTACATGCAGCTTGTTTTTAATGAATTTACAGAAAAGACCTGGATCTGTTTTACATTTGCCTGCTATACCTTTCTCAAAGTTGCTTTCTGCCTCTCTCCTCAGTGCTTTGTAATTGTTTCTTGCTTGCTTGTAGTGCTGGTATGTTTGTGGGTTAGGCCTCTTTCTACATTGAACCCATTTTCTTGTTTTCCTCTCTGGCCAGCTCACAATTTCTGTTGAACCGATCCTGTTTTCTGGTCCTGCATCTGTGTTTTGGTATGAAGGTTTGTGTGCCTTCATCGTATATTTCGCAAAATTTCGTATACATCTCATTTACTCCCTCGCCTAGCAACAAGTCTGTCCAATTAAAATCATTAAAGAATTTTCTAAGTTCCCCATAGTGTCCTCTCCTGAAATCGAGTTTATCAACTGTTTCAATGTTCCCATTTTCTTCTAGATTATATCGCAAAGCATATTTAATTTCCAACAGGACAAGGTCACTCTTTCCCAAGGGAGGAAGGCACTGGATGTCATATATCTTCTTCTTCTTCTGTCCTGATCAATATTAGATCCAGTACTGACGGAACATCCCCTTCCCTCATTCTTGTGGCCTGCTTGACGTGTTGATACATTAATGTCTTCAGAATGAGGTTTACAAATCTGCCTGTCCAAATGTCCTCCGTTCTTGCTTCGTAGGCCTCCCAGTCTATTGCTCTCAAGTTGAAGTCCCCCAGTACCAGCAATCGTGATTTATCTTTTTCTGCTTTGACTATAATCTCTCTCATAACCATTATGAGGTTATGAGGTTATAACCTCTCGTTTGTCACCTAGTTCCTCCTTTATTGATGTGTTGCTTGCTGGTGGGCTGGAGGCATTTACGATTATCAGTTTATCATCCTGATTCCAAACCTGCAATGACATTATGTCAACTTCTCGAGGGTTTTCGATTATTAACTCTCTTACCTTCAGGTGTCTTTTACCAGCACAGCCATTCCTCCCCCCCCCTCCCTTCATAGTTATCCTGTCACGTCTCCAAACTGAGTAGCCCCTTAGGAATACGACCTCATTTAAAATATTTTCTTCAAGTTTCGTTTCTGTTAGTGCGACAATATCTTGGACCTTAAGCTGAATTATATCCTTTAGCTCCAATATTTTTTTTTATCTCACTCCATCTGTGTTGGTATATACAATTTTCAGGAAAATGTTCCCCTTTCCCTTCCTCTAATGATTTTGTTGCTTTGTTTTTATGTACCATTTCACTAGCTTTCCAGTCCTTAATACTTTGTAGAAAAAATTGTTTCTTTTTTTTTAAATTATATTCCCATTTAGACGTTTCGCTTCATCGAGGTTCATTTTTCAGCTTTTCTCTGTCTTCCTTTGAGAGGTCTTGTTTTATTGACCAAAGTTTGCCATCCTCATCACACTGCAATTTCCTGGCTTCTCGAGCTCTGTCATATCTTCATTTGAAACTGTGTATGGAGTCAGCCTCCACCACATCACTTCCTAATGCATTCCATTTACTAACAACTCTGGCACTGAAAAAGTTGTTTCTAATGTCTCTGTGACTAATTTGGGATTTCAGCTTCCACCTGTGTCCCCTTGTGCGTGTACCTCCCGTGTTAAATAATCCAGCCTCATCTACCCTACCCTTGAGAATTTTGTATGTGGTGATCATGTCTCCTCAAGCTCTTCTGTCTTCCAGGGGCGTGAAGTGCAGTTCACCAAGCCTTTTCTCGTAACTCATGCCCCTTAGTTCTGGGATTAGCCTAGTAGCATACCTCTGAACTGTTTCCAGCTCAGTCTTGTGCTTGACAAGGTACGGACTCCACGCAGGGGGCTGCATGCTCCAGGATTGGTCTTGCTTATGTGGTGTACAAGGTTCTGAAGGATTTCTTACACAGGTTTCCCTCCTGTGTAAATAAACCCTCCTTACGGAGGGTTTATTTCCACCTGCACAGAGGTTTATTCCAACCTATTTAGGCTATGTCCTTGCTTCCTTGTATGGACGCAGGCTATGTTGTAAGTTTTAGTGTTAAGAGCTTATCTGAAACACCAACATGGAAACTTATAATAAAAAGTTGCTTGACGAACACACAAAACCACCTGTTGGGGAAGCACAGTAATAATTACTGCATATCGATTTTCCTTGTATCTCTTTGAATACTACTGCTGCTAGTTCTTTTTTATTTCTCAATTACAAAATGTGTTGCAGGAATAGTCACCAGCAATACCGTTATAATGGGTAGATAAACGATCGTATCTACCCATTGGGCACAATATCCAAGAGCAAAGCCAATTCAACCCCCTCCTCAGCATCATCAACGTTGAATTAACGTTGATTCAAGGTGAAACCAACGCCACTATTGGACGCCGTGCCCACTGGGTATATGAATGACGATGCAGTTATGGCGGTCCCACCGATCTTGTCCTTATTTGTTCTGAAGGCTATTACAATTACCTGCTGTTCGCCAACCATTCAACCCCCCCCCCTAACTCCCCCCATTACGCAACCTACGCTGCCGGCCAGTAAGACAATGCTATATATATTCATATAGGGTGGACGGTATACACTTTCATGTCGTAAAAACTAGTCGTGGTGTAGACTCCTCGACCTCGAGTAACTTAGGATTTTTTTATCATGTACTTTAATAGTACAGCAGCGTTGTTAGTTTCATAGTTCTTGTTACTTTATTTGGCAATTGATTTAATGGGGATTAGTGTTTTCAATTTCAATTTTAGTGTTTAGAGTTAGCCAATGTATACGAGGATTAACTTGTTTTATGTTGTGTAATTCTGCAAACTTATCTTATCATGTGTTTGATTATCAAGCAATAGGCTACCTTTGATGATAGATATCATGTAATTCTATGACTTTAGATCATCAAGCATGAATAATGTTATTCAATACTTATAGCGTGGTCTGCCTTCATTTTTATACAAGGCCTTTTGAGAGAACTCCTATTAAAACGCTTTCTTCACGAATGGTTGTATATTTACTATTACTTAGTTTAGAGTTTTTTTAAACCCATTAGTCATTTATCCAAGAAAATCATTATAACAAATAAATTGAAATTAATGTTTTTTTTAACGAATTTAATAGAGACATATATAAGGAGACAAATAAATAATGTGTTTTGTTTACGATTATAATTAAGTTGCATCTCTCTATGGAAATAACACACAGGTGTTTTAGAATGAAAATATGAATAAATGAGGCACTACGCAGGGAATGAGTACAGTAGGTGGGGAGCCAGACAGCTGAGAGTCAAGGTGATGTGAGCTCACTAGGATGGCGGGCTACGCTACACTAGGGAGAGGTTTTGGAAGTGTTGGCGTTCACTTTCACCTTGGTTACCATTCACCGTCGAGCGGTAATTGGCGACTGACATTTCCAGGTCACATAAGAGGCCAGGGGCACTACCCTCTCCTGTGAGAGGGGCGAGGAACTGTGGTGGGTGGTGCGTGTAAACTGAAAGTATTTGTTTAGGCTTCTATAGAACGTACAACACCCTCACCCGACAACACCCTCTCACCCGTCAACACCCCCTCACCCGACAACACCCTCTCACCCGTCAACACCCCCTCACCCCCACAACACCCTCACCCCCCACAACACATCCCCCAACAACACCTTCACCCCACAACACCCTCACCCCAACAACACCTTCACCTCACAACATTACAACACGCCCACCCAACAACAAACGTCTGTAAAAAAGTGAAGGGCAGGAATCCACGAGATGTTAAATGGAAAGTCTTTGAGACGACACGAGCACCTGCCAGACTCCAGCGACCTTCACCCCAGAGTGAAAGGGACAGTAGTACCAGAGTGAAGGAGAGACGGAGGGGACAGTTGTACTAAAGTGAAGGAGAGACGGAGGGGACAGTTGTACTAAAGTGAAGGAGAGACGGAGGGGACAGTTGTACTAAAGTGAAGGAGAGACGGAGGGGACAGTTGTACTAAAGTGAAGGAGAGACGGAGGGGACAGTTGTACCAGAGTGAAGGAGAGACGGAGGGGACAGTTGTACCAGAGTGAAGGAGAAACGGAGGGGACAGTTGTACCAGAGTGATGGGGAGATGATGGAACACCACCTTTCATTCTTTCGCCACAATCTCTATCTAGTACGATGACCTCTCTCCCCTAACGATATATATATATATATATATATATATATATATATATATATATATATATATATATATATATATATATATATATATAGTATATATATATCGTATATAATTAGTATATTTTGGTAGCAGTCTTTCCTGTAGACATATATTATTAAATATGACCGAAAAAGTAAGATTAATAATTCTAACACGAATTTTCTCAATATTTCTTTTCACTGTTGATGGTAATTGAAAAATCAATTCTCCAAAATTCATTTTTATTTCTGGTCTGACGCGACACTTGAACGCGTTTCGTAATAACTTATTACATTTTCAAAGACTTTAGTTTACAAACACACAACTATAACTTGCAAACACGAAACAGAGTTTACTACACACACTTTGATCTTAGCCAAAAGGCCGAGAAGCGATAAAAAAAAAACAGTTTAAACAGCTTTGATTTTATACCTGCATTTGGGTGAGGTGATATGTTACAACAGTTTTGGATGAGGTGAAAACAAACTTTCAACACAAGACAGAACACGAAACTATGGGTATAATATTTTGTAAGTTAAAGGGAAGAATGGAAGTAACTGCAAAGGGCCTATTGGCCCATATTTCTTGATGCTTCTATATTGGTGCGGAGTCTTGAAGTGGGTAGAATATAGTTGTGCATTAATTGGCAGCCAATTAATATATATAATCAGCACAGATTTTAGTAACTACTTTGTACATTCTTGCAACGTCACGGTGCATTGGTGGGACGGAAGAGGTGAATGGAGGGAAGGAAAGGACGCCACGGAAGAGGTGGAGAAGTGGGATGGAAGAGCTGGATGGTTGGGACGGAGTATGTGGAGGGGTGGGACGGAAGATATTAATTTCAGTTGGCATTTAGTGGAATGGCCATGGGTACCGGTTCACAGTGAAGGAGGAACGCGCCCCAGTGGCTGATGAACCTAACCTCTCGGTCTGTCAGGTTAACGCCATCTCTGTTTGGGTGACCGCGTGGACACCATAGATGCTGAATCAGTGCTGCTGACTCAGCCGACAAGTTCTGCAATACTGCCGGAAATACAAATAGCTAACCTCGTTAGCTTTCTGAAATGTATCGTAGTCCATGTGCGTGGGTGAGAATCAAGAACGAGTCTATATGAGAAGATAGGTGTTGATAGTTGAGTGACTTGCAGGTATATTGCTGGCAGAGGAACCTGTACACTGGCGGGTATAAGCAGGTCTGGCCAGCCGCTATGAAGGGAAAGTCATTCACGAAGAGTGAAAGTGCCAGAGATGGAAGATCACTGATATTATCATCACCGGGCCGTGGTTGGTGCGCTTCATCCCTGCAACCAACAGTGACCATCCTGAGCAAGCATAATGCCTCGTAAAGACATTCTCAATCTTACACATTCGTCTTAGTAAGAAGCCTAGTGAACTGTTTAGGTCAGAACGCGTGACGTATACAAGAAGCTTAGTACACTGATCTGTATATTATTTTATATTTCAACGCATTTTTTTTTGGTCATTAATATTGTGATGTTTCCTTGATCGAGACTGGCTTTTTTTTCTCGTTCAAAGATTTAAATAAAAGGAAAGTTGATGGTGACAAATGGAATTGGTGAAATATGGACCCACAGATGCATTCTGATCGGCAATTCATATTAGCATATTTAACTTCTGCATTTTATAACCAGAATTCATTAGCGTATCCGGCTTCAATACACAGCTAAACAAGGCACAAGGAACAGTGAAGGTATAGCTCACTGAAACAATCTTCCCATTATGAAAGATGACGTTCGCAAGTGGCCGGCGTTCATATTAATGTGAGGTGAAAGTTGTTTTAGTTGAGGTGTGATGAATTCATAAGCTTCCATATCCCGTGCCGGCATTTAAATTACGACATTATAAACATGCACACTATATATACAAATATATATACATGCACACTATATATACAAATATATATACATGCACACTATATATACAAATATATATATATGCACACTATATATACATGCACACTATATATACAAATATATATACATGCACACTATATATACATGCACACTATATATACAAATATATATACATGCACACTATATATACATGCACACTATATATACAAATATATATACATGCACACTATATATACAAATATATATACATGCACACTATATATATATATAAAACAAAGTTATTTTTTCGTTAGGTTAGATAAGGTTGAGTTAGAATATATTAGGTTAGATAAGTATATGTTGGGTACGAATAGGTTAAGTTTGTTAAAAAAAGTAGCGATGACTAAGACAGGTGAGACTCCTCAGGTCTTAGACCCTCCTGATGTGGGAGTTCTCACACCCACACCAGCGCTAACTGTTTACAAGACGACTGTAAAGAACAAATCCACTCTCTCTCATTCAAGCTAAATATATATATATATATATATATATATATATATATATATATATATATATATATATATATATATATATATATATATATATATATATATAGGCAGGATACGAAACTGGTTGTATACCCATTTATTGTTAAAGTTGGCAAGTGTATGTGGTGTGAGAGTCGTGTGGACCACTGACCAGTTGCTGGGCGTGTTCAGTAAGGCATGTCTTTGCATGCTGCCAGCTACCAAGTCTACATGCTCGCCAGTCTGTGTGCTGTCTGGCTTCTCACTTTCTAGTTTTTTTTTACCTCCCGTGCTGCATCACATATATATTATATACTAGAATTATATATATATATACTGTATCCATTCAGGCTTGTTCGCATATATATATATATATATATATATATAATTTAGTGCGCAATAACCTTCGGGGCACTTTTGCGGTTTGCAGTGCACAGTGCTACCTGGCGGCCCGGTCCTTGATTTGGCCTCCTAGTTAACTGTCTATTTTAACCAGGCTGTTGGACACTGTTACACAAAAAATCTGACGTAAGAGTCACAGCCCGGCTGATAAAATTCCCTTTTGAACTCCGAAAGAGATCGACCGGTTATGCCCGATTCAAGGACAAAACATATGCTTTGTCATCCGTAAGGTTATAAACACATGGAACGGCCTACCCGCCGAAGCCGTAAATGCTGACAAAAAGACGAGTTCCAGACCAACTTGGAAAAATCATCAGGAAAATTTGAGGACCTTTGACAAACCGCCAGCGGCCTGTCCCCGTCGTAGCCACTAACTAAATGGTGGTCTTCAGGTAAATTTAGGTAAATAATACACAACACATAAGCTCCTTCTAATATCCCACAAGTTGACCTGTTATAGCCTCTACTGTATTGAAACTTTAGGCTTCTTTAGACCATGTTTGTATTTTGTGACGATGTTTTAGCTAATTTCGAAAGACTGAAGTGAGTAACACTTTGCGGGGCAGCCAGAGGCTTAGGCCGCTCAGGAATATCCTTGAAAATTAAAATTCAGCCAATTCTTGCCTTTAAAAGGGTCACTTTGTAACGACTAGTTGATGTCGTTGGCGTAAATGTTTTCCACTTTTCCTACTGAATACTCAACTACAAAGGAAAGTGAAAACTATCTTTATATCCCTCTTCTAGACGTAATAATAATATTTTGTGGATATTATATTTCGTTGTCATTAACATATAATTCCCGTTGTGACAGGAAGCCTATACTTAGGCTTACCAAGGTCCCGCTAGGTCAACTACTGACCCCCAGGATGCAACTCACAATAGTTAGCTAATTCCCACGTTTCGATTTTACTGCGTCATGAACAGAGGCATTACCGTGGTAGGGAACTTACCCAGCCATTTGTCCTGCCCGTTTGGAAATTGAACTCGAGTGCCGCGAGTATGAGCTGAGGACGTACACTAAAGTTTGTATTAAAATATGCAACACAGAAATACTAATACATGGCCGCAACATACCTTCATTGTGGTGGAACGACGTGTATACACCTAGGGAGATGAGAATGTGAGAACTGTGAGCGCTTCTCCAGGAGCAGCTTTTATATACCTGGTGAAGGGTGGTGGAGGAGGGGCCGGCCAGGCGGGTGCAGGCCAATCGTAATGGCGTTACATTTCACTCCAACGAGATTTGATATCCCCCAAGAACTGCCTTATTCTTTCTCATACAGGTATCAGGAATATTCGATGACCTGCCATTGAGTCCGAAAGAGTATAGTGCTGATCTAATCTAAACAGCAGCGTGCTTCCCTGATGTGAATGTAAAAACTTGACTTTAACATATATGTTCTAGTCGTACATCTGTGCTAGGTGAGTACGACGGGCTCACCATAGCCCGTGCTGCTTGGAACTCAACCTGTCCTCTTACAAATTACGTCTGAATTTGGTCGTTTGCCCGTATGGCCGAAAATGGTCGTAATTTGAAAATGAAAAAAAAATGAAAATAAATTGTGGATTATTTCTACAACAGCAAGTTAAGGGTTCTCTGGTAGGTTAGGAGGGCAGAAAATTCTCGTAAGGTTTCAAAACGTCATGAAAACCGTTAATTGAAAGTTTCCTCTCCTAACCTAACCAAGTAAGCCGGACGACTCAAACAGAAAACGGGACAGTACATCGCTTTCGTGAACCAATTTCATTTCAAATTACGTCCATTTTTGGCCATAGCGCGCATACGAGCGAAAAGCGACGTTATTTTTAAGAGGACGGGTTGAATAGTGAAGGGTAAACTTTCACATGCGTCGCTGGATTAGGCTTGTTGGGCTGTGTTAAAAAGTTAATATTTAGCTCACTATTCTCAGGTTACATTTTTTAAACTAAGTCAAGCATATAATTATAAACATTAGGGAAACTACACTGATCTTCGGTATTTTCATTTAATTGGAAACTAGAGACACAAGTCACTTTTCAAATTCAAATTTTTATTCAGGTAAGAGTACATACATAGATGAAGAGTTACAAACATAATGTTGGACTTATAGTTAAGAGCATATACAATACCCATACAATACCCATAGCCACTAGTACGCATAGCGTTTCGGGTTTCGAACTTTTTTCAACTGTTCTTTACTTTGAACATTGCTTCTATATCTGCCTAATCAGTTCCCCGTAGAATCTTGTACATTGTTATCATTTCTGCTCTATTTCTTATTTCCTCTAGCGTGGTGAGTTTACAGGCCTCTCAATCTATCCATCCTCACAGCTCAGTCTCTCTAGTTCAAGAACGAGCCTAGTTGCATATAATGTGTGTGTGTGTGTGTGTATTTGTGTGTTTGTGTGTGTGTGTGTGTGTGTATGTGTATGTGTAGTGGGGAAGGAGGGTTTTAGAAAGTGCACTAGGCTTTAAGATTACAATCTATAGATTTACCTTGGTCTATATATCATAATTTGTAACCTGCAAGTATGCTTTAATCTCTAGAACAGTTCGGGATCACAGTGAATTCCCAATGCATATACACCGAAAAAAACACTTCTTTGTATGTATACCCGGGTAGCGTGAGCATGTATTATATATGCTAATGGTTGCGGGTGGCCTACACTCATCCGACAGGACCTTACAAGGCCTCGCTTCAACCTCAAGAGAAAGTGGTCTTAGGTCTATTTGTAGTGTGTGTGCCCCCCTTGCTCATTACCAACACCTCTCCCCTGGACCGGCCTTCTACACTGTATTCACCTGAATTTGCCATAGGGGTCACCATCCCTAGTGGCCTCGACGAAGACTGAATTAAATATCCTTTCTCATGCTCCTGTGCTCGTGGGTGTTACAGGAATATAAATTATATAATGGCAAGGTAATTGGAGTAAGATCAGCTTTGGAAATAATAGTTATATTAAACGCTTTCACCAAAAAAATAGTCCTTATAGCTACTCTGACCTGTCCTAGGTCTAAATATGCAATCCTAGGTCTAATATACGCCCTCTTACGACTTAGTGCATAATATATATATATATATATATATATATATATATATATATATATATATATATATATATATATATATATATATATATATATATATATATATGCGAACAAGCCTGAATGGTCCCCAGGACTATATGCAACTGAGAACTCACACCCCAGAAGTGACTCGAACCCATACTGCCAGGAGCAACACAACTGGTATATACAGGATGCCTTAATCCGCTTGACCAACACGACTGGATATAAGGAAGTGATAGCCGAAGCTATATGAACCACTTCCCCGCCGGCACTCGGATGGTAATCTTGGGCATAGCATTTTATCAAATCACCTCATTCTTTGGGGCACACGTGAGGAACACAAATGCGAACAAGCCTGAATGGTCCCCAGGACTATATGCAACTGAAAACTCCTTATGTCCGGTCGTGATGGTCAAGCGGATTAGGGCATCCTGTACATACCAGTTGTGTTGCTCCTGGCAGTATGGGTTCGAGTCACTTCTGGGGAGTGAGTTTTCAGGTGCATATAGTCCTGGGGACCATTCAGACTTGTTCGCATTTGTGTTCCTCACGTGTGCCCTAAAGAATGAAGTGATTTGATAAAATGCTATGCCCAAGATTACCATCCGAGTGCCGGCGGGGAAGTGGTTCATATAGCTTCGGCTATCACTTCCTTATGTCCGGTCGTGTTGGTCAAGCGGATTAAGGCATCCTGTACATACCAGTTGTGTTGCTCCTGGCAGTATGGGTTCGAGTCACTTCTGGGGTGTGAGTTTTCAGTTATATATATATATATATATATATATAACAAACTGAAAACTCACACCCCAGAATTGACTCGAACCCATACTGCGAGGAGCATTCTGCAACTGGTGTATAGGACACCTTAACCACTCGACCATCACGACCGGACAAAAGATGATGGTAGCCGAGGCTAATTCCCCATCATCCCGCCGGCACTCTGATGGTAATCTTGGGCATAGTATTTTATCAAATCACCTCATTCTTTGGAGCACACCATTTGCAGAGTGCAACTGGTGTGCCAAATGATAACAATGTACAAGATTCTATGGGGAACTGATTAGGCAGATATAGAGGCAATGTTGCAGAGTGCTCCTGGCAGTATGAGTTCGAGTCACTTCTGGGGTGTGAGTTTTCAGTTGCATACATACCTAGGGACCATTCAGGCTTGTTCGCATATATATATATTTATGCTATATTAGGCCTGGAAAAGTTTAGGATTGGTTGTTGCCTTCTTTCTCTGGCCCTTTAATAGTACAAAACATGGTCTTCTATATATACAGCAGTCCATTTATTGTATATTTCATCCATAGTGCATACTAGGTACTATCATTTTTGGATGACGGGCGGGTCTATATTCGTCCAAGCGACTGATACGTATTTTCAGCTCTCAAATCGCGCCTAATGAAACGAAAATATTCTTACAGGCCTTCAGATTTCTAAAGCGAGTCAATTATGGCCAAATTATGTTTTAAGGGTTTTTGTGTCTAGTTCTCAGTGCTACCTTAGATGGTGTACGGTAAGGTGTTTAATGTGTTGAAATGAGCGTACAATTATATGAAGTTTATTCTAGAGTATGAATGTCCACTTTTTTATTGTAGTTAGACATGCCCTCTAACTCCTAATGCCCTCTGTAGTTAGAAATCCACTGTGTCGAGAGGAATATATAAGGAGGTGGTGGAACAAAAGAACATACATATGCATTGGCGGGAACCTACAAAATAATCTCAAATGTTATTGCATTCTTTTCTCTGAGGCTATGCGTTCAACCCGTTCCTCTAATAGCAGCATTTTGACGTATAGTCTACCCAAGGGCAAAAATTGTCGTACTAGAAAATGGTAGCGGCTCACGAATTTTACATTCTGATCCTGTTTTCGGTTTTGGGTCCTCTGGTAGGTTAGGGACAAGGGCACCATGGTACGACAGTTTCTTGACCTTGGGGAAACTTTAGGAGGACGGGCTGACGCATTTACATTCCAACTAGAGGTCGTACGTACGTTAGTCCTCCCCCCCTCCCTTCCCCCTTATACACACAGACTCGTAATTCTGTGGCGCGGGTTCGATTCCTGCACGAGGCTGAAACAAATGGGCAAAGTTTCTCTCACCCTGAATGCCCCTGTTACCAAGCAGTAAATAGGTACCTGGGAGTTAGTCAGCTGTCACGGGCTGCTTCCTGGTGTGTGTGTGTGTGTGTGGTGTGGGGAAAAAAAGTAGTTAGTAAACAGTTGAGAGGCGGGCCGAAAGAGCAAAGCTCAACCCCCCGCAAACACAACTAGGTGAATACTAGATGAATACACACACAATGGGAGAGGGAACATGTTCCTGAAAAGCTTATTTACAAACATGGATGAAGTGCGTTACAAAATACTTGAGCTACATGATATAATACAGATTAAACTCCATTTTTAAGTAGAAACCAATTTACTTAGTAGATTTGTTACACAAAGATACCGTGTACTAAATCTACTTAGTTATTATGACAGTCACATAGATTTTACAGGAAAGAAAAGAAATATGATATTAGAAGAAAAGGAGGTGATATGATCACTACGTACAAAATAGTAACAGGACTCGACAAAATTGATAAAGAAAAATTCTCGAGACCTGGAACTTCAAGAACAAGAGCTCATAGATTTAAGCTAAGTAAACAAAGCTGCCAAAAAATATTATAATATTCACTTTTGCGGTGTATGTAATATTAACAGATGTGTAACTACCTTCACATGATTGTCACTTGCTTAACTAAACGAACTAGAGGGTTCAGTGCCTGAACCCATTATGTGCCTCTGTAACCCTTTCCACCACCACCCACGGTATGGGTATGGGTTGAATAATATAGAAATGAATAATAATAATAATAATAAAACAGAGGGGTTGACGGTTGGAACAAGTTAAGTGAAGGTGGTGGAGGAAAATAGCGTCAGTGGTTTACAAAGCGTTATATGACAAAGAGCGCTGGGAAGACGGGACACCACAAGCATAGCTCTAATCCTGTAATTACAATTAGGTAATTACACAAGCGGTCAGCCTCCGCGACTCTCAATCCAGGGGCCCATGTTTGATTCCCAGCCGAGATAGAAACAATTGGG